AAGCTATGAACTCTTCCACCATGGTTGGTAAGGACAACTCTCAATTCAAAACTGGGTAAGTATGGGGCTAGCAACTCCATTTTGTAAAAATCCACCACATGTCCTGAAAAACCACAGTAGCAATGTTAAATGTGCTGAGAACTGTGACCTAATACTCCTTGAGATTTTACGGGATTCCCAAGAGCTATGGCCTAGTACCCCTCTGGAGCTTATGGGACTCCTAGGAGCTGTGGCCCAATACTCCTCTGGCTGTTTATGGGACTCCCAAGAGCTGTGAACTAATACTTCTCGGGGAGTCTATGGGACTTGAGTGTGTGAGTATTTCTTTATCTACTTTTTGTCTAGCTATTTTCTTAACTAAATTCCTACTAAGTGAAGAAAAATTTTGCCTTTTATTTTTGGACATGTTGAAAAATTATCACCCAACTACTACTTGATGGTAAAATCATACTCTAGAGAAATTTTATGTTGCTACATCATCTTTCCATTTTAGAGGAAGGAAGAATGAGGCTAACAGGAACATGGCTAAAAAAAAAAAGTTGAAGAATTAGGTAACAAGAAATAATCTAAAATTCTTTCTTTTTCTTTCTAATGTTCACCACTATACAAGGCCCAAGAGCCACTCATGTAGATGGTTACTGAATGAGGTTATAAGAATTGTAAGAGTAAGGTTTATTGATTGTATTGTTTATTTAATGGCATATCAAGACCTTATGGGTTATTTAATGTTGAAATTAAATTTTTTGAGAGCTTGGAAGTAATAAAAATGTTTTATGCTACTTTTACAATTGAATACAGGGTAGATTTTGTGTTATATATATGTGTGTTTGTGTGGATGTGATTACTAGAAGCAGTGATGAGTTTTGTTGAAGTTATTTGGAATACAGTTTGATTTAAAAAATTGTAGGATATTATATGGATTAATTTTCATGGAAGTTCTTCCATATTTGTTTTGTTTTAACCAGATTTGGGTAAAATTTCTTCAATTGTGTGTATTGTTGGTAATTTTTTTATATAAAAATGTATTGCTTATATTTTTACTATAAAAACATTTTTATGCTTTCATAGTTTTTTTTTTTTTTTTTTTTTGATCGGGGGTGACTATTTACCTATAGACGGGACACTAACAGGTACTACCACTCCAGGTTAGGGTGAACCTGGGAACAACAGAAATGGACAGAAATTAACCCATACCTGACAGGGTAGAAGTAGTGGATTCATACCTTTTCCAGGGGTACTTGCATGTAAATGAATATAAAAAAACACAATTGGAATTAACTTCTGATTCTGAGCCATTATTGATTACACCTCCTGTGGTTTTAGGAGGCAAAAAAATTTTTCTCTCTTCCTTTCTCACATGCTTCTTGCTGTTCTTTGTTCTTCCTCTTTCACTGTACTTTGTTTGTTCATCTGTCAAGTTGTGTGAACTTGATCAAGCCTCCTCCTTATCAACTGATTTCTCATTCTCATATGGGCAGTTTTCTACTCATAATTCCTTGTTTTTTTTTTCACCATCCATTATAATTAATACTAAAGCAGGTAGCATCCATTACAAACAATTTTTTTACACCTCCCACACATCCAAGCTTACAACACCTGGTATTCACAAGTGGCCACCCATCTAGATACAAACGAAGCTTGAGATTACTTTGGTGATCATATGGGAACTAGTGTTTCAACATGATATGGCCATGTCCCACAGATGAAGATGTGACTTGAAATAATATTAATAATAATGTGGTTCTCCTGATGGATGCTGATCCTTATATATATATATATATATATATATATATATATATATATATATTATTTTTTTTATAAAATGATTCTTCGCTACATAAGAGTTCTCATGTTTCAAAAACAGGAGTTAAAAACTTCAATTTAATTATAAAAATTAAATTGAATTAAAGTATCAAGCTCTGTTTCATCCTCAAGTGAAATTTTTGGAATAACTAATCTTGAAATTTACGCAGCTTTATATATATTCATTTGTAAAGTTAATTTTACGAATGAATATGCTTATAAAGCTGCGTAAATATATATATATGTATATATATATGATCCATTGCTAAAATGGATTGTAGATATAAGTTGTGATTCATTGATTGATTGATTCATTCATTCATTTTCTATGGCTTATCAATCTTTTGCAGGTTATTAAATGCCAAAAAATATTGTAAGAATTTTGGGGGGAGATCATAATGATTTAGATACAATTCTTACTAATTAATCCATAGGTGAGGAGAGAAGTGGATTCATAACTTTCCCAAGGGTATTTGCATGTAAGTAAATATGATGAACCCAACTGGAACTAGAACTCAGCTCCATGATTAACAATTCCAAGCCATTATCATTTACTTCGCCTGCACATTCAAGTGTACAGTACTTGGTATTCCCAAGCAGTCTACCATCTAGGTACTGAGTAGACCATTTTTTTTCTACATCTTTAGTAATGGATTGTATAAATGAATAAATGGATTGTCTCTGTGACTGGCTGGTTAAAAAAAAAAAAAAAAAAAAGCATCAATAATCTGGACCAGATAACAATGTGTAGAAAATAGTAAATTATTTGACTCTTGCCATCTTCCCAGCATGTTTATTAGAGAGTCCTAGTTTGGTTTGGTTTATTTTGTCTTACAGTATATCAACACCTCAATGGGTCATTTAATGCCAATAAGATTTTTATGATAGGTTTGTAGATTAGGTTTCATTGACGTATTTTTTTGTTATGAGATGTTTTTGTTGAGTCAAATGTATAATGGCAATTTCTTTTTGCAAAATGTATTGCTGTTTTTTTTTCTTTTTACTATAAAAATGTGTTTTTATACTTTCATAGTGTTTTGATTACATTTTTTTTTTTTTTTTTTTTTTTTTGTGGGGTTAACTATTTGCCCATAGGTGGGTCAGAGTGAACTTGGGAATAACTGCAATTAAGGGATGGTTCCACGCTCCTCCAAACTACCCCATCAGAGGCCTTGCTGATGGATGTAGTTTATCGTCATACCCAGGACAACATAGTCAATAGTTACCTTTAATGGATGCTTCATTGCCAGAACTATGTACCAAATTCAGTCAATATATACATTTACTTATTCTATTCTAAAATTGATCATATTGGGATAGAAAGGTTTGTGTCCTTCAATGACAGTAGATTTGGAGAACTTGTAAAATTTATCCAAACAATTACTGAAAAAGAAACTGGAACCCATAAAAAGAAATGGTTTAAAATCAATATTACTTTAATTGGGCGTCTGTTTCAATTTCACAATAAGTTGGTCATCAACAGTGCATGGCTGCTTTCTAGGAGCTGAGTATAAATATATTGTTAAAATTTGCTATATTTATAAGAGAAAAATTCTTAATTTCAAGATAGAATTTATAGATTTAGAAAGTATGGACATAGGAATTAACACTATATGGTAACTGTCAGTTTCATGATTTAATACTATCTTCAGACCAAGTGGTACTACTTTTTATTTTTTATTTTTACTAATGTTCACAAGAGCCACTCAAGGGTTACTGTGTGGTGTTGTATTAGCATAAGAAAGGGCAAGAAGTGACGTTCTTGGGGGGTATTCAAGAAAGATAACGGTGTGGGGGGGATAACCAGAACTTGGCTACTGGTTTCTCCTCTGATCTTGTTTGCACAGCTCAGTGGGGGAGGAACTGGCTTGTAAGATTCAGTACCTCCAAAACCAAGTTAGTATTGTTTCAACATCATAGAGAACAGATGCTGAGTTTTCTCCACTACTGATGGATGGTTTGACTGCAAATGAGGCTCCTTGTCTGGAATGTCTATTGTGATTTGAGATCACACCAGAGCTCAAATACAACTCACATATATGATCCATTGCTAAAAATGATGATAAAAAGTGTCTGCTCTCTGTACTGATCTAGAAAATACCTGCCTTTTCCAGTGATTGCTCTATGATTAGAAAAGATCAAAAATATAACATTGGCCCCACATCTGGTCTGGATTTGCCCAATCTTCACTTTCCCCACTGATTGATTTCAAAATTATTTCCACTGCCTTGTGGATGATGAATTGATTTTCACCCTTTAAAATCATTCCCACAGATGAAACGTTACCAGCCTCTCTCTATTCTATCACTATTTTCGTGATAGATGTTCGAGTGAACTACATTCCTTGCTTCTACCAGTTCAGACCTTTTTTACTAAGACCTGTCATGTACACTTAGTTGAATCATCATTATTTCTTTCATATTCCATTAGTAAGGAGTAAGTTCTACTCAGGTTGGATTTTTTTCCCAGAACTGTTGTAATGTGCAACAGATACCTGAAATGATGCTTACTACAATCACTACAATCTTACCCACTTCAAGATGAGGGTCAACAGTTATCTATCCTAAATATCCTCATAATATGCAACCCTTGCTTCTTCCCAGTATGCCCTTACAACAAGCATTTAATAAGCTTCTACCTTGAGTGGCTCTTAGGTCCCATATTGCGTGAATAGTAGTGAAAGAAAAAAGATAAAATTGTACTAAATGTATTTCTCACTTCATTTTTGTCTTGTATTTGCTTTGTACTTGTGATCAAATTTATTGACCTGACAGATAACAAATGAGTGATGTCTAAAAACACTTAGACAGTTTTAAATACACTGAGAATCCCAATTGGTCAAAATTTATATAGAGGATTAAATAAAAGGATCATCTTGGAGTAGGAATAAATATTATTACAATTCTTGCAATCATGCAGAAGCTATGCTAGAATAATAGTTGAGAAATGATTGCTCTTAGCTGGGCCTATGGGAGAGAAAGTCTGATATTATGGAGGCCTGAAACTTTCTATGATCCCAGAATAGTCATCAATGAGGAAGCATTCTGGTGCACAATATACATGTATAGAATGAAGAATTATAAATCTGGCTTCAAATTTTACAGTTCCTACCATTACAGTTATGCATGCAAAAATATATTTTATTTCTTTTATGACAATGTTTTTATTTGTTTAATTTTATCTTTCTTCCAGATAATATGGGACTTTTATTCCACTTTTCCAAGCTTTTTCGGAAAAAATCTTTAAAGTATGAAGACCTTGGAAAGACAAAACTTGCTAGAGTATTAACTTTACTTGACCTTACACTTTTGGGTATGTACTGATGTCTATATTTTGCCTTCTATTACAAGATAGTTCCTTACAAAATGTAATGCATACTTACACCCACACACATGCATGCATACATGTGAAGAGAAAGAGGAGGAGATGAAAAGTTCTTAGGCCCTCTCATGTTCCAATATCTGACCAAAAATCAGTTTCATTATGGATGTATAGGGTGCTGCAGAAATGCCCCCCCCCCAGTTTAATAATAAGACATTATCTAGATGAAGCCACTGTTGCCATTAATGCCTTACCATTATGTCAGAGGTATTTCTAGGAGGTACAGGGTGGAATAGAAATAAATTAGTAGCAATGATGTCTTCTTGATATAATAACACCTTATTTCATGGATGGAACAGAGTAACTGAAAGAAAAGGAATGGGAAATGTGCTTTGTTCTTGGAGTTTTATACTGCTAAGTTGTACACAAAATTATTATAAAACCAAGCGACTGCGCGTTGCGTGTATCCTATGATGGAAAAGAAAATTACTTACCAAAAAAAAGGGGCACATATTCCGCATGACATGTTGAAAACGAAATATTTAGATTAAAAACAAGTCCGTCGCAGGAATCTCTATAAAAGTATTTTATTATGCAAAATACTTGGCATCCTCTCCCAGTTGTCGATGAATGAAAAAACTGCTCGGCTGATAAAAGCAGTTGGTATTCTCGAATTGAGAGGAATAACTGATGTATTTTGGCTACCACGTTCGTTGGTGAACGAGTTCTTTTTCTGACTGGTTACGTGCATTGGGATTTGTGAGATAGTACCCTCGAATCGAGTTTTCGGCATTTCCTTCTGCCCCTGATATTCGAGTCTGAACTTACAGTAATTTGCTCTCTGCGTTGTGGAATTAATCTGTGACAAAGATTTCCTTTGCTTTCAGAACACTTACAATTATTTATATATATATATATATATATATATATATATATATATATATATATATATATATATATATATATTTACATGTCTCTCACACACAGTAACTATATCACATATCTACAACAGCAAGCAGTGTGAAAACAGAATCTTACTTGTAACTTAGTACAACGGTTTCACTAGGAACATAGTGAGGCCTACTGTTATGGGCTAGGATCATCTTCTCTGGGCTTTACGTAGCAACTGCTCTTCGTCATTCTATCCTCTGATGTCATTCACCACCCATCATGTGACCCTCATGATTTCATCTTAATGAAAGGGGAATAAGCACCTTTTCGTATCCCTAAAGTAAAGGGACTGTCTACAGTTTTCAGGTTATTTTTTTTTTGTTAAGGTTCCAAGGTTTTAACTGGCTTCTGTCATTGTCAAAAAAAAATTTAAAAATCTACTCTATACTACAATCATGCAATACCATGTATTTACAGAATTAAAAATCACTCCAAGATGCAAATTCCGATACAGGTTTTGAATTTCATCAAATTTCTTTCTTTCTTAGTAATGACTGTAGCCAGTTGAATGCTCGGAACATTACCAAAAAATAACATGAACTGTACATATTTAGTTTACATCTTTAACACTAAGATACTGAAAGTAATCTACCAGCAAGAAAAACTTACTAAAAATTAAACAGAACTAGTCTGAATGACTACTTGCTGCACTGAGAGAACACACACACACACACACACACAAACCTGACAAAACAAAAACTTTTCTTTACCAATATGTTTTGTCTGCTGAGAAACTTTATCAAGGTAAATGTGGAGATTTTATTTTGTAACTTGTATTTATATGCATAAAAATATTGTTAAATATTTTATCTGAATTTTTACAAACATATTTTTATTTTTGATCCATTTCTTTTAATCAATTCATTTTTTAACAATTTATCTATTTTCCCCTTAAGTAAATGAACTGTACCATTCTCTTGCCTATAAATATTGATATATTACAGCAGTGAGTTTTTAATTTGTGCTTGATGATTGCTATGTGCATGAAACTCGGTTGCATTGAATAGTGAGGAAAAAAAGTATATTTATTCTTTATATATATATATATATATATATATATATATATATATAATTTAAAGAAAAAACAGACCACTTTAAGGTTCTGTTAGTTATAATTTATTTCACCAGAGATTTTATTTTTCTCTGGACTTCACTTTCAAGGGTGAAAAAAATGAATTTAAAATTTACACTTTTGAAGGGCAGTATTAAGCTTATATAAGGTGACATAGAGGGTGGTGAGGAATAGTGTGAGAGACATGGTCAAATTTAGAGAGGGAAGGGAAAGTTTTAAAAATTATTTATATTTTTATTACAATACTTAATATTGAGGAGGAATGGGGGTAAGGATCAGACATTGACCTATATATATATATATATATATATATATATATATATATGATGAAAATATAGTTTTAAGGTATGTTATATTTATGAATCGATCATATATAAAATTTTTTACACATATATATATATATATATATATATATATATATATATATATATATATATATATATATATATATATATATATATACACATACATATATATATATATATATATATATATATGAATAAAAGTGAACATTGAACTCAACACCAAGTGGCAATAATTTGTTTCATGCTTAAACCCAATTGTCAGGCTTGATTGCCTATAAGCATGAAACAGACTGTCACCACTGGGTGTTAACCTCAATGTTCACTTTTATTCACACACGCGACAGGGTGTTTCATGCTAGACACAATCGTTAGGCCGCTTGATGATTGCATCTAGCATGAAACAACCTGTTGCCTTTGAGTGTTGACTTCAATGTTCACTTTTTTATGTATATTTACATATATTTATCTCTGATATTGAACACTTTATCCCATAAATATAGCACACCTTAAAACTATATTTCTTTATATATATATATTTATATATATATATAATGATATTTCTCCAATCTTATGCAGAATGCACTTTGCAGGACATTGTTGGCAAGCAAAACAAGAACTCACAAGTACTTCTCTGGGCACCTAACCATGGAGCAAGATGTGTTGGTCACCTAGCAACCATCTATATTGACCAGCTATGTTATGACTTTGATGCAGCACCATGATGATTAAAGTGAACAACTCATGAATGTCTGAAATAGCTTGACCAAATAATATATATATATATATATATATATATATATATGCATGTGTAAAAATTCACATATAAGTAAAAATATGTCTGTAAAAAGACAATATGAATAAAGACAAAAGGAAAACTTATCTTTTGTAAGAAGTATTTATAAATAGAAATAAAAATGACATTAGTTTGTTGGAATTTTAAAATTTAAGAATGCTGAAAAATATACATTAAAGTAACTGAAAGTCAAGGAAAATTAAGTCCATCAAAGGATGAAACAGCTAAGTTTTTCTTTTGTCTTTATTTATACAGGATAGACAACTCTGCATGGGCTGATGGTGAGTAATTTAATGACAAAATGGACACAAACTCTTGTGTTTTATCCTTTGAAAAAGTCATTTTTATAATAGTTTTATCAATGAAGTTATATATACGTAATTCATCGAATCTAGGAGAATCCTCAGCAGAATGCAGAAAGCACTGGATGGCTGTTTCATCCTATTTAGGGACTCTTCAGTAGTGCACATCTATTATCGAGAATTGAACTCTGATCGTTACAATACAATGCAAGCGTCATACCCACTGGATCAATGGGCCTCAGTGACAAAGAGGTAATTAAATAGAATTGTTTGAGTCTAGCTATATAATTAGTTATATACAATGTGCGTTTGGAGGAGATGATGAAATGTAACAAATGCCAATGACAATTCTTCATTGTGAAGCAATGAAGGTACAGGGATACTTAACTTTAAAAAAGTTTGCCACTTAATATATCTAGATATGCAGAATTTGTTGTATTTTGTTGCCTCACCAGCATTTAAGTAAGACTCCATCGATAAACTCATTATCGGTCCAAACAATTCATTTTGAAGATAACATGGGATTTTAAAAAATTTTTCTATTTAATTACCCACATAAATATTCATCTGTGTATTGAATATTGTCACATCTGGTTTAGCTCTCCTGATATGTATCTAGAGATTTTTGACAATATCCCCAAAAGAATGTTATTGGTCCAGACCTGGCACCTCAAATTCAACCACATTCTCATCACCATAATGTAGCTTCCCTGTGCTTTTACCATAAATATTTTCATGGTCATTGTTCTGGTGAGTGAGCAATAATAGACAGCTGAGGTCTTGTTAAATTTTTAAAAGTGGAACCTGTCGCACAGCTTGATACAGAACAATTACTTTCGACCGATGGTTATCAGTAAATGGTGTCAACTTCAAACTCAGACTGAGAGAAAGTCACAGAAGGAAGATAAATTACTTTTTTAGATGAAGATGACAAAGAAAATTGTTATCTTTAAAATGGACCATTTCACGAAAAGAAACGCAGAAGGAATGAAGCGGATCTTGCAGAATGAACAGTGTAGACAACCACTGAACTGTGCATCTCATTTCCCCCTTATAGCAGGTAGATTACAACCCAATAATTAAATCTGGTTTCCTGCTAGAAATTGTTTTCTTTATTTGTGGGTGATGATCTGGCTGAAGAGAAATTTTTAACCTGCAAGCATTTGACTAGAAGAAAATGCATCCTGTCAATGAACCTGGTGTCTGGTCTGAGACACAATGTAACATGAGTTTTCCTCTTTGATACATTGATGTTCACAAATTTAAGCATAGCACTATATTGATAGCTAAGTTTTATCATTTTACTATTGAATTTGCTGAGTGTAAGCATAAATTTGGTGAGTTTAAGCATAAATTCTATTTTAAAAGTTTTTTCTCTTGCAATTATTGCTTGTAGAACTCTCTTTCAGCTTGTTGTGTTACTATCGACTACAATCTTCAAAAATTTAAATGCTATATCAATCATCATCTTCTCTCTGCTTGAATCCTGTTATTTTTGTTGTACTTTTACCTAGTTGGTAACATTTTCTCAGTTTTAGTCTCTATACGTAAGCCCTTATGTCTTAGTGGCTTTATCACCTTCCTTGGGGTGAAACATTTAATATATAAAAATACATAGTAGCAACATTTTTTTTCTTAGATTTACTGGTCATAATTCATTGAACTATTATTTTATTCAGGAGTTGGTAGCACACTTGGAGCTGGTGCCTATGTTCTCTCTGGAAAAGTTGCTAGCCAAACAGCTGGACCGGCAATTGTAGTATCTTTTTTTGTAGCAGCTGTTGTGTCTGTCCTTGCAGGTGAGTTAACTTTAGCTTGAGTGTGTGTGTGTATATATATATATATATATATATATATATATATATATATATATATATATATATATATATATATAGTTAATAATGTATCCCAGCCCTACATAAAAAACTAACTCCAATCCAATATATATCCACCCAAATTCTAACCACCCTCCATCTGTAACCAAACACATACTCTCATCTATACCATCTTCCAGTGAAGATATCTTTTATAAGCATAGCAAATTAAAAAATAGTGGCTACAAGTGCCTTGACATCAAATATATAAAACATAACAGAGATAGTAGGAATAAAAATAGGAACAGAAAAATCATTTGGTACACACACCCATTTAACCAAATGGTTAGTACTAAGTTAAGGCAGAGGTTTCTAAACACTTCCCCAGAAATAAACCACTTAGTAAGATTTTTAATAGAAATGCACTAAAACTAAGCTATAGTTGTACAGATAATCTTGAAAAAATTATTAAAAAACATAATAATAAAATTTTAAATCAATACAAAACTTGAGTAATAATTGCCATTCCAAAGAAACAAATGCAGTTAATACCAACAAGTGTAATTGTAGAAATTCTAACAAATGTCTATTGCAAAACAGATGTTGAACAGACTCTCTTGTTTACCTAAGCACTATTTCCACTATAGAAAATCCAACAGTTAAAAAATTTTATATTGGGACTACCAAAAATTCTTTTAAAACTAGGTGGTACCAACATGTATTATCTTTCTTCAATAAAACATACAGAAATAGGACGTCCCTTTCTAAATATTTTTGGAACTTAAACACCTATGGTAAATTGGAAAATACTAAAAAAAGTAGAAATTGTAAATATTTAAATGAACCGTGTTTTTTATGTTTACATGAAAAATTAGAAATAATCAAATTTGCTGACAAAAAATCTGTTAAACGGAGTGAATTACATGTAAATTGCCAACACAGTTTACCTTTTACCTTAAAATATAGTGAAATTTTAAAAAATTACATATTACCATTTCTTTTAGCCATCACAAGATTTAAAAAAAAATCTTGTGAGTAGAATTTAATTTCAACAAAATGTCTTTCAAATTGCCTGGAAATTTTCCCAATTTAAGCTTCAATGGTTCTGATTTTATGATCATTTAATGTCGGATCTGGGCTAAATTTGATTATTTTTCCTAATTTAGGAGCCATATTTAAATTCTGATATGTCAAGATTGAGACATTTTCAACCTTTGACACTTTATACATGCAAAACCTACTTCAAGGAAGCCATTATGAATAAATAATAAAGAAAGACTAGGTGCCCCAGTTTGTTTTAAATGTGGGTCCTAAAAATGGGAAAAGCTTCAAAATACAAGTTCTTTTTTGATCTTGTCATAACCATCTGTTTTGGGTAATTAAGCCAATTATAGACATTTGTGTCTTTCTTTCAGAATCTTCATGTAAGAACATTATTCTCAAAATAGACACAAAGTCTGTTATACTACCAAAATTCATACATTGAAAATATTTAAATCTGGATTTATTAATAATTGCATAATGGCTTAAGAGTCAAATGGGTTGCATTTGACTCCATGAAATCTAATGTGGGACCTTTTTTTTTTTTTTTTCTCCCAAAAAAATGATCTCAATAGGACATGATAAAAGATGGTTTTAATTGTTAAGTCATTTGCCTCTAAAACAGGCAATAAAGTAACCCTAAAATCTGGGACTAAGATTACATGGAAAAGCAAAATACATAGTGGCTTTCTGCATAAATGAGTGAAAGTTCAATGTTGGCTTAAAAGGGAAAAAATAAAATAAAGATTAAAGATCAGCAGTGATGGCAATCTTTAAATTCAACCTAATTTGGCTTCATTCATGATCTCTCAAAAATTCCCTGTTGCCAAAAGGTTTACAAAATAGTTTTCTGAAGTCTGAATCAAGATGATTCCTGTTAACACTTGTCAGCTTATCAAGTCCTGACCTTTTCAAATACAAAGTCTCTTTGTTTTTGCTCTACAAATATTCCTCTTAAGCTACCCTTAGTAATAGAACTCATAAAATTTATTAAAATGATTTTTTTTTTTTTAATATAAAATTATTTTTCCCACCTTAATCCAAATTTTGATTCAACACAATGCTTTCATATGACTCCCTAGTGTCACAAAAAAAACAAAAAAAATGTATTTTTTCCTTATTGGATTATTACATCTTACAACAATGTAGAAAATTACAAAGTTAATACACTTTACCACTGATTTCTTCCTATTTTCAAAAAAATGATTTTAATTTTAAACAAATTTCAGAATGAAAATATAATTGTAGCCAGTTTTAAATCTGCATAACTTTTTTTTCTCCTTTTTTAGAAAAGGTTTTTTTTTTTTTTTTTTTTTTTTTTAACTGTTTTAAATGTCCATATGCACTAAGTAAGCTGATTAATTTGCTTTTTTTTTTTTTTTTTAGATGGCTAATTATTTACATTATTCAAACTATTGTCCTCATCTTTTTTGCCATATTTATCACAACGTTTTGGCTGTTGTATGCTCCAGCCTTCTTCAGGTGATTGGAATGTTGAACTGAACCCTTTATTTGGGGGTAGACTGTTCTAGTTCCACATGCCATGTGTAATGGATGTCACTTATCACTGTTAATTCCTCTCTCAAAGTTCTCCACCGCCTTAACCAGGTATTGGATTCACACTCTTTGGGTCCTGTCACTGGATCTAACACCTTTATCCACTGTGCCATGTGTCCTTTAGGACATATTTGTATGAATTTCTGGGTATTATAAACTTAATGTCTTCAGCAACTATTTTTTACCATATTGCAATTTTTGCTGTTATCATTCCATATTTTTACTAGAGCTCATATTGCAATTTTTGTTGTCATTATTGCTTTTTCTCTGGCACTCCTTATTACTGGTTCCCATTTTGTATTCATTTCTATGCTTGGTTGGCTCAGGAGATTTTTGTGGCCTAGCATGTGTTGATTCCTTAAGTTTACGAATTTTCCAATGGTGTTCTTTGAACTTTGAGAGGGGAATTAACAGGAGATAACTGATAACTGACATCCATTAGACATGGCACATGGAACTAGAACAGTCTACCCCAGTGAGTGAAATAAAGGGTTCAGTTTGACATTTCAACCACCTGAAGAAGGCTGGAGTGTACAACGGCCAAAATGTTGTGATAAATATGGCGTCAAAGATGAGGACAATAGTTTGAATAATGTAAATAATGTACATAATACCTCATCTCAAATATAAACAGAGGCTAATTATTTTTATTTAAAAATATTCAACTCGCAAAAACTTAATTTCCAGAAATTAAACCTGTGATCTTGAAAACTTTTATGTTTTGACCCATATAAGGTCTGGTCTAGTAAAATATTTAAAAATATGAAGCAAGTTGTAAAATATTTTTTTTTTTTTTTTTTTTTTAGTTCATAATTTTTCTCTAACAAAAATTTAACATTTTTTGTTATTCTTTACATAAGTTTCTTCCTGAAAGTTTAAACAATTTTTATAATTTCTTCTCCAAATTTGATGATTCTTACTCTCACAATTTAGAGTAAGATATAATAAAAGTCTAAATTAACAGGTTTAACAAAGCAACGACTTTTTGTAATTACTTTTTATTCATGTTTTTAATAATTCATATTTTAAAGTTCTGATATTAAGGAATTTTAAATGAGTGTATACATAGACACAAATATTTTATACACAGTTATCTCGCTTGATGAAGATTTTATATGCAGTTATCTCCAGTGATGAATAGAGAGATAAATACTCATATTTGAAATTGTGATCACTATTCATTTTCTTTGTACTTTAATCAAGGCCTGTGCTATGCAGAATTTGGTGCTCGTGTACCTCGAACAGGTTCTGCCTATGTCTACAGTTACATAACAATTGGAGAATTTGTTGCCTTTATCATTGGATGGAATCTTATCCTTGAATATGCCATTGGTATGATTTTTTTTTTTTAATTTTATATAAAACATTGAATAATTCTTTATTTCAGTTTTTTTTCTGGTACACATTTATCCAGTTATTATTATCATCTATTTTCATAAATATTAGAGTTGTATTACACATTTAAATTTATTTAAATTTTTTTTTTTTAAATGATATTTACCTGTGCAAGACCCCAAGAGCCACTTGAGGTAGAGGGTTATATAGTAAGAGGCTCAGCTTATGGGTATACATGAGGAATATAATGGTTGATCCTAGGGTTGAGCAGGTTAAGATTTTAGTGATCTGGGAAACATCCTCTTGGGAGTTGGTTCCACAAAACAGTGGTTCATGGGAAGAAGCTGCTTGAGTGGGACTTAAATGGAATGTCTGTGGAATTGTGGGTCTTAACCATAAAGATTAGAACTGGTGGAACTAAGGAATATAGTTCATCTGAACAAATTTATTGGAAATAGCAATAGAGCAGCAGTGAAAAGCTTGGGTGTTTCGTCTGTGGGGAAAGGAGTTGCAGGGAGGAAAATAATTTATCACTCACAAGGACGTGGAGACACTTTCTGTACTCTATCAAGACTGGAAAATTAAGAGTGGGAAGCTTCTGCCCATATATGGCAACAGTTCTCCATTTTTGCCCTGATCTGCTCTTGCAAAGGTAGAGGATATCAGGAGTCAGGTGCTTACTGAAGCGGTAAAAGAAACCAACCCTTTTTCCAGCATCTTTAGTGATGGATGATGCTAGAGTGATCATTTGGTTCTTCCTGTTTATATGCAGTAGATTCACACGACAGAATTAATGTGGCTATCTTTAGCAGAAAGAAAACAGGAATATCACCTGCCAAAAAATTTGGAGGTCATTTGAAGTGTCCTAATTATTTAAAATAGAAAAAAAATCATGATAGAATTTAAATTATACTTTAGAATTTAATAAAATTAAATCAATGTAAATGAAACAGTTCATTGAAAATTCAAAATATTTTAAAAAACAAAATGAGTTGACCATAGTTGTGATTATCGAGTCAGTATGAACAATCCTTTCCTTAGATGCATAGTATATGCTTTGCCAGGGCTATGTACAGTTTTGAATTCAGAGTTTTGCTACCTAATGCTATTTACTCATTGAAATAAGATTTTTAAATTTCTATATAAAAAAAAAAAAATAACCACTGTTACAATTTTTCATTTTTAGGTTCCTATCTTTGAGAAATGGGCAATGCTGAATATAGCCCTTTATGTAGATATTTTAGGGAAATATACGTAATATAAAAAAAAAAAAATAAGAAAGTACATCAGGATTTGGCCTATACTGGGATAATGAACAAAAACATAGCATGTATTACATAGAAACATATACTGGATTGATATATAATTAAATAATTTTATCTGGACTGAGTTTTATAGAGATATTTGTATGTCCAATCTTTAGCCAGATTTCATTGGGAACCAAAATTATTTTTGGACAGATCATATTTTTATTTTCATAATGTAAGATTTAAAAAAAAAAAATTTAGAATAGATTTGAACAAGTTAAGATTGTAGTGATCAGGGAAACGTTCTCTTGGGAAGTGGTTCCAAAAAGCAGTGGTTTGTGAGAAGCTGCTGCTTGAGTGGGACAGACATCTCACCAATGGAATATGAAGGGAATGAGGGTGTTTTGCTACAGTGTGCATGGCATGACATGTCTTAGCTGTGAAGGTTCAACCTGGTAGCACTAAGAAATTTCCATGGAAATAGTGATAGAGCAGCTAGTGGCTTGTGGTGTTTTTTTTCTGTGAGAAAGGGGCTTTAGGGTGGAATATAATTCATCACTCATGCCTATTGAGACTGGAAAGTGAAAACTGGGCAGCTCCTGTCCATATATGGCAGCAGTACTCCATTTTCGGCCTGACCTGACTCTTGTAAAGGTAGAGGATAGGCAGCAGGAGTCGGGTACTTACTGAAGCGGTAAAGGGAGACAACCATTTTTCCAACATCTTTAGTGATGGATTGTATGTTTGAGTTACACTTGGACTTGGTTGAGTTTAAGTGCCAATAGGTGTTCAGAACACAGAGCCACCCTGAAGAAACACCTGTTCATCATGCTAGGTGAAAATTCAGGGGTTAATTTTCAATGGTGTGGCAAAAGAGAAAGTCACTTACCGAGAAAAGGGGCATGTGTATTCTGTACAATATGCTGAAGACAAAATAGCCAAAATAGAAACAAATCAGCTCTTGTCATAAATGCATCTCAGAAATGCTAATATTGTGTTTCTTCTCTCTCCTGTTGACCAATAAAAAAAATTGTTCCATTGATAAAAGCGGTTGGTGTTCTCAAATTGAGAAGTCTGTTGGTTTGTGTGCTGGATTTCTGACTGTTTACATGTATTGGAATTAGTAACATTGGACTTGTTATTCGTGATTTTGACACTTCTTTCTGCCTGGATCTTTGAGTTTTTACTTGCGATTTGTTTATTACATTGTGGAATTGGGCTGCTATATCAATTTTTGAACAAATTGGTGGCTCCTTGTACAGCTCTGAAAAGTATCTGACTCCTCTTGTCATATTTTATCATTACAAGAGTCAAATTAGACCAAAAAGTGGAGTATTTCTAGTGTTTCTGGGCTGGAGCTGTCCACTTCTAACTTTCCAGGTTTGATAGTTCAAAATTATTTATAGGCTCTTGTAGGGAATGACAACTTTTCTGCTCTATAGTTTCTTTGCCACAGATGTGCAACACTGCAAGCCTAAGGCTACTCTGCTACTGTTTCCATTGCAAATGTTCATATGAACTCCACACTTTAATTTCATAAGTTCAAAACTTTACAGCTAGGATTTGTTATGCTATGTTGATGCAGTTGAATCACCTATTTTTCCTCTGTGTTCCATTTGTAAGGAAAAGCTTCCACTCGGACAGATTTTCCAGAGAACTGCTACTCAGTGGACAATCTTCCCATGTAAACGCTTTCTGGAACACTACAATCTTAATCACTTCAAGTCAAGTGTCAGTTGTTACCTATTTTCCTTATCTTCATTTCCTTCTACAGCCTCTGACATTCATATATCACACAGTAACCTTCTATGATGAACCTTGTATTGGGTGAATGTGGGTAATTCAGTTTGCCTGTCATTTGCGATGACTGCAATGGATTAAAGTGCTTGCTTTCGTGCAATCCTCCGGTCTACCAGCCAAGCTGTTGCTAGTGACCTCTTATTCTCTTGGTCTCGTTAGTACGCCATCACGCCAACAACCCGATCTGCCGTCTTCCTATCAGACTTGCTATTTATGCCTGCGTAAGTTTTCTCGTTCCTCACAGTGAGCTTAGTATTAAAAAGAAATGAAATCAATATTGTTTCACTAATTTACTGTCCAATCAAAATGGATTAGATTCCTTTTTATTTACTCAAGAATCTGTAATGTAATCGACCCTGACCAGGCATCTAAACTTCAGTCACTTTCTCACCGATGTGTTGTGGCTTCCCTTTCTTTTTTTTATAAATATTTTCATGGCAACTTCTCTGACAAATTTTTTTCCCTGGTGCCCCAAACGCATGAATTTAAGCATGTTACTAGATTGGCATCTAGGTCCCACACTGCTACTTTTGAAATAGTGAAATGCAACCACCACATCATTCACCATCTTCTTCTTGAACTCTATTCATCTTTGCTCCTTTCCTCAGTCCTCCATATTCTCTGCCTTCTAGTTTACTTTCACTCCCTGTAACCCCCTGTGTACTAGTGGTAATACTACCTTGCTTTGGGTGAAATGAGTAAGAAAAAAATTTAATCTTTTTGATTGATGTAGATTGGTTTTGAGGTTTGATATCTCTATTAATTTTTGAATCATTTGTAGAAACCAGAGATGAGATGCATCTACTAAAGAGTCTAAGAGATGAACAAGTCCAGATTTAGATGGCATGAGGCCTTAGGCTACTCCACTTGTGAGGCCCTCCAAATCACCCATTCTCAGTAAATGGAAGAGTGTTAAATTAAACAATTTGAATAAAGCTGGGGATGATGATGATGGTTACTGAAGGGTTGTTTAGAGTCTACAGTGTGTTATAACAGCATGTGTAAGAAAGGCATATGACAGTGTCAAAAATATTGTACACCTTGGCTGTTTTTTTTTTTTTTTTTTTTGTTAATACAATATGAATATTTCTTTGCTTTTAAAAATCTTCTTTTACAAACAAGTGATTGCATATGATTTTAATTTTCATTAATGATCTTTCTGATTGCATCAGCTGTCAACTTAGTATCTATGCTGATGACACAACCATTGACTTGATATTAAGTCTGATCAGTTCGATAAGGTCCAGTTGGTGGCTGATTTCAAAAACAACCTACAGTCTATTGTTAACTGGGACAAAGAATGTCTTGTTAATTTTAACGCTTCTAAAACAAAACTGCTCTCTATCTGAGAAAAACAATTCTGCCTTTGTTCAACATGGCTAATGCTAACCTCCAGGAGAGTGACTCATGCCTTCTCTGGTTAACACTCTTGGTTGACATGAAGTGGAAAGACTACATTGAATCCATTGCTAGGTCAGCTGCTAATGAAAGTTGGTTCACTGTGTCATGCTAGACAATTTTTGTCTTCAGAATCTGTTTTGCATATTCTATAAATCTGCCATTTGCCTAGGCTTAGAATATTCTTGCCACATATTGATCTGGTATTACTGCTATTTATTTAGAGATTCTTGATAAAATCCAAAGAATCAGCAATATTATTTGTCCTGACCAGGCATCTTGGCATCAGTCACTTTCTCACCACTGTAAAGTTGCTTGCCTGTGCCTTTTCTATAATTACTTTCATGGTAATGGTTCCAATGAGCTCTTTCATATGGTACCTAGACTTTTTGAATTTAAGCTCAGTAATAGATTGGTAACAAGTTCTCATCATTTTACAGTTGAAATGACTAGATATAACTGTAAGTTCTATACTAACAGTTTCTTTTCTCACACTTCTCACTTGTGGAACACTTTTGCGGCTCCATGCTTTTCAGCCAACTTTGATCTTCAAAAATTTAAATGCAATATCAGTCATTATCTACTGTCTTCTGGATTAATCTTCTATTGTTCTTATAGTGGCATGTTAAGGGTCACCAGATTATAGTGGTGTGGGACTTTGGGGTTAAAATGAACAGTTCGTTAACCAATACCAAGAAGTTTTAATGATGGATAGTAATGATGAGGCAACACATGGTTAATTTTTAACAAAACAAAATAAGGAATTTACAAATTTACCTGCTGGAAGTTGTGTCAGTCATTCATTTCAGGAAAATAAATCACAAATTTTTAAAGACTGTAGTTTCAATGTATTGTCATGAAGAGAAAATGTTCAGTCAACAGATGAAATCATCTGACACAAAATAACATTCAAAAATGTTTAAAACAAATTAAGAGACTTCATTTTTCACATAAGGGTTTATATAGTTGTATACATTCAAAAGTAGATGAAGATTGTTTGAAATACTGAACTTTCTTGGATAGTTGAAATAAAATTCTTTGAAATGCCAAGGCTGATAATATAATTGGCAATTAATTTGACACTGGCAAAAATCTGAATGCCAGATGAGTGAACAGAAATTAAACTTTTCATATCAGTTTGGAAACTCTTGTTGATATAATTTTTCTCCTTATTTTTATATCAAAAGGGGTTGCACATAGGCTTGTTATTTTCTTTTCTTCCTTTTTCTAGGATCAACAGCTAATTCCTTTGAAAAAAAAATTTTCATTGGTCCACAATAAATTTCATATAGGCTTGCAAATTTCTTTCCATCTTTTTCTTCAGTTTGCCTGAGTTATTATTATTATTTTGTACTCATCACATTATTATTTCTTGATAATGTTTCTGTTTTTTAATTCCAACCCCTTGTGTCTTAGTGGCATTAAAAAAAAAATATATCCATACCCATTTTTTGTTGTCTCTCTTATTTAGGTACAGCAAGTGTTGCCCGTGCATGGTCTGCAAATTTTGATTCATTGGTTCAGTTCAAGATCAGCCATACTTTAAATTCAACTCTTCCTATGAACGTACCAAACTTGGCTGAATACCCTGATTTTTTTGCTTTGGGGCTTACGCTACTTCTAACAGGTGAGAATCAACTTTATTTACCAAAAATATTATGAGGTGATATTATTGTCAACTAGAAAGACCTATGAAAATTTCATGATATTCCTATTTTAATTTTCTGATGAATCCAAATGGTGAGTTCTATGACAATGAAATATCCATAAAAATTCCCCTATCACATTGTTAAATACTTGATCTTAACAACTTTAACAAAATATTGCAATAACAATCATAAATATCAATGCTGGTTGTTATTTTAAGAAGTGGATATAAATGGAAAGATGTCATATTGACAAGTTTTTCCATTTCACTGACACAGCCATTAAATGCATCTATCTTCCCTTCTTACTTTCTTTCATTTTCTCACTGAAACCAAGTAACATACTACATCTTTTTTTTTTCTACATAATTAATATGGAATAATCCATTATTTATGAGGCATTGGCAGGAGACATTTAACACTACTATCTTCCCTTTCTTTCTTTCTAGCCAAATTCCCATCTTGTGATCCATTTTTTGGAATAATAGTTTTAAAATAATTCATGGATAATATTATTTACAGTAACTGGATTTTTGCTGATTATCTTACTTGGTTTCTGTAATTTGATACTGTGCATCTGAAAAATGGTGTTTTTTAGCATTGGTTTGACTAAGATTAAAGTGCTGTATCTGTTTTTATTAGCTTAATCTGATTCTTCCATTATTCTTTCATTTCCTCACTGAAACCAAGCAATGTCTTTTCCCCTCTTTCAATGCAATCAAAATGGAATAGGCCATTATTTATAAGGCATTAGCAGGACATAATGGCCATGCTAACTAATGAATGGAAGGACAAGTACAATTATAATTGGATCACTGCTCTCTGTTCTTCTACTAAGCAGAGTTGCCATGTTTACACTGTAACAGTAGAGTAAGAAAACTGGTATGATCAAGCTCAGACTTTCATCAAGTGACCACACTACATAAGCATGCATGTGCAGAAAGCAGTGTGGCAAACCTGAAGACATGCTGTTGTGAAAGTATGAATAATTTTTGACTTACTGATGTATTTCAGCTCTGGTTATGTTACAATAACCATAGCATTGGTGAATAGACAAAATTTATTTATCGATTCTAGTTTTGGTTGATTTTCCATTTGGTTATATACACATCTAGAGATCTGCTTTGAAAATGCCACTTTCTCATTGGCTCACAGTCTTATATCCTGGTTATAAAAGCTTTCTGAGTGGTTAGTTTAACTATGGCTTTGCAGTCTAGTGATTTTGAATATACATCTATTTTTAAAGATGATAAAATATTGGTTGCCTTGTTATTATTTGTTTATTTTTATTTCTTATGTCCTGGCTGTGAAAGTTGGTTGGTTGAAATAAGTCTTTGTGGCCTGGCAATTCTTATTATACATCTATTTTTTGAGATGGTGAAATTTTGGTCTCATTCTTATTATTTATTTTTATTTCTTTATTACACTATCACTGCAGATTGTAATGTGGGATTACCCCACCTTGTCTGCTAGGAAACTTCTCAAGGCATGTGAGGTGACATTGCATAAAGAAGAATGAAAGAAAAGGATATATACCGTCTCTCTCATCTCTCTTCAACTACAGAATGGCATAGTGACATGTTGGGTTCCATGGGGGATTCTTTGTCTCTGAACCATGTGCCTCATCACATACTACACAATACTATCATTACACGATATTCTATCAAAAAAAATTCATATGGCTTCAATAATATCTCCACTTCCACTTATCATATAAATATATATCTCTCTCCAACACAAGAAAATATTCCAGTTCAAGAAAAGATAGAATGCCTCTATAAGGTGATGACTCCTGTCACAACTGGTAACCCAATACTAAGTAATTTGTAGATAAAAAGCTGAAAAATGCGTTTTAAATAATTTAAATGTTGCTTTTTTTTTTTTTTAGTAAAATTGTGGTTTTATAAAAATAAATTATTTATTTAACAAAAAAAGTAAAAACAAACTCCTTTCCACCCAGTTCAATGAGTGAATTTAATGGATGGCGGATTTTATTTTACAACAAGTATTGTCATATGCCCCAGTCGACGAACAGGTTTTAGGGCGACCATATGCCGACTGAGAGATATATACACACTCACACCTTTGGAGAGAGTGGACAATTGGTAAACAAAAAAAAATATTTTAAGACCACTGTTTCATTGGGATAATTGAACAGTAATCTTTCCCAGGTCCACTTCATTTTCAACATGAGTACTGATCCACAATACAAGGAGGAACTATGAGGCTTAGCGATTTTTGATACAATAATTTTAATATATACATATATCAAAATAAAGAACAGATAAGTATGAGTTAAAAACTATCCGACGACCAGATCTCGAACTTATTTGGGATATCAAATTCGCCGAACACCAAATGGATTCAACTGAACCCGAACATATAAAGTACAAGTATGGATTACTATGAATTGAATGCAGGAGCCAACACACATACACAAAAGAGATGGGATAGGAATTATAATTATTGTTTTACATATGGAAAGGTGTTTGCGAAAAAAAAACACAATATTCATGTGTGTGTGTATCTTTTCTACTATGGGTCCAAAATGTGATTACTTATCTTTTGTATTCAGTTCTCTCTTATTTTTGTTTCTATATATATATCAATGTCCTTTTTTTTTCTTCTGTCGGCACAAACACAATTTCACACACTGACAGTCTGTAATAGAGGTATCCACTTTCTTTCTCTCTTGTTCCGTCTTTTTCTTTCCTTTTTCTTCTGTAGACGGCTCAGTTTGCAACAGGGATGTACACTTTTTCCTTCTTCTGAAAACAGCTCGACTTGCAACAGGGATGTACACTTTCCTTCTTCTTTATACAAGTTAGCTTATAACGGAGGTATACGCTTTCTTTATGCAGGTTGAATCATCAACATATATCTTTTCTAATACATCTTCAAATTGGGATTTTCGAACACGTTATTTCCTTATATTCCGTGTCCGGAGTTGCCTGGATAGAACTGGATAAGTCATCACTATCGAATACATCTTATCTTTCCGTTCCTGAACCACTAGCGTCTCAGCTTCGGTCTTGCCTTTTCAAAGTCCAGATAACAACTGATCCTCGAGTGAATCTTTGACTGTCACGTGTCTTAGTTTTTGGCGCGAATTCTCACTTACTTCCATCCCCTGTCTAGCTTCTGTCTAAACATTTTCCGTTACGGGTAATTGGGTCAGTCAACCTTTTGACCTGCCTTCCCAAAATGTCATAAGACTTCACGTAATCTTTATTTTGTTGCTAGGCGGAAATTAACCTTCATATGCGTGTTTAGGCCATCTGCTTTTAATATCCGTCACAGTATTTATTAACAAAAGTAAAAATGTTGTTAGTTTTTCAAAATTGTTTAATTTAAGAGACACTCATAAATATTCATCAGGTTGACTGAAAGGTCTAAGTAAATTATAGAGGAGGCTAAGTGACATAATTTAATGTCTAAAGAACAAAAGTGAGTAAATGTGTGTAAACAAAAAGAAAAATCAACAACCTCATGGGCTATTTAATGCTGAAATCTAAATATTTTGTACGCTTTTTTTTTTTTTTTTAAAATAGTTTCAGTGATACAAGTCTTACTAATTAAACCACACGTGGGGGGAAAAGCAGTGGATTCAGACCTCTCCCTATGGTATTTGCATGTAAGTAAATATAACAAATGCAACTGGAATTGGAACTTGGCTCTCTGATTAACAATTCTGAGCCATTATACATTACATCACATGCAAGCTTACAATACCTGGTATTCCCAAGCGTAATCCATCTAGGTACTGACAAGGCTCAATGTTGCTTAACTTTGGTGATTGTACAGGCACCAATGCTATAATATCATGTGGCTGTAAGTGGATTATACCATCTGCACATCCTATCTTACAGTACCTAGTGTTCCCAAGCAGTCACTCATCTAGATATCGACCAGGCTCAATGTTGCTTAACTTTGTTGTTTCAACATGATGTGGCTGTAAGTCCATTATGCCACCCACACATCCCAGCTTAGAACCCCTGACATTCCCTTCTCTATCTCATCACTGTAAGCCAAAAAATAAATAAAGTTGTAATGTGATATTATCTGTTATGGTAATTTATCCACACATGCATGGACTTTTTGGAGAGGGAAGTTTCCAGCAGTCAGCTCTGACAGTCAGACCGAACATTCTTAATGTAACACTCTCGTTTGTATATATTTGTATTACTGTTTCTGTTAATATATTTGTTCAACTCAATTCCTCTCTCTGTGTCTTTATTTTTGGCCCTAACAAGGCCCCAATATTATCTGATAGCAATAATTCATAATTCCAAAGCAGAAAACATGTCTTGATACATTTACTTATTATTCATTCAAAATTGATGAGATGTAAAATTTTTAAAAGAATTTTTAAATTTTTTTTTCAGCCCTTTTAATTATTGGTGTGAAGCAGTCATCAACTTTTAACAGTGTCTTTACAGTTATCAACCTCTTAGTTCTTTCGTATTTCATAATCTGTGGATTTTTTAAGGCTGATGCTAAAAATTGGAGCATTGACAAAAAAGATGTAAGTACATTTTCTTTGAATGTCATTATTTTGATGATACTGGCTCAAAACAAAATTTTCTAAATTTACAAGAAGTGAAATTCAAAGACAGTACTTTGATATTTTTTACACAGAATTATTCAACCACATATTTGCCATTTTGTTCCAATTTCATCATCTTTAAGGCAACTTCATGATTTGATCCTTTCAGAAGTTGGCATATTTCTGGGTGATGAACTGGTCTAAATGGTTTTTACAAGCTTCCAGTGAATGGAAGTACTTCCATAAAGAGAATTTTGCAGGGACTGAAATAACTGATCTGTCTTCTACAGCTTATAAATCCACTACATCCTTGACCTCTGCAAATCTAGGATTAGCCGTTATCATTCCTGCATAACCCTATGAACTTTTTACCTTTCCTTAAGGTCATACAACATCACACAGTAACCCTCTACCTTGAGTGGCTCTTGGGCTTTGTGTTGGGTGAACATTTGTGTGTGTGTGTATATATATATATATATATATATATATATATATATATATATATATATATATATATATAAAAATTTCACCCAACACTGCAAATTGTTACAAAAAAAAACCTTAACCTGAAAGCTCAAGTCATGTTCTTAAAAAGCCTTGTTAAATCAATATTTTCATATGGATGTTGTCTGTGGCACCAGACCTGTTCAGAAATATCAAAACTGTCAGCTGTATTCAACTATTTTCTAAGATCAATGGTTAAAAATGGCTTTGAGGGAGCCGAGTGAAGCCTGTGGATTTTTGTGAAGACCATTCTTCTTTGAACATTGTAGAATATAATAAATCACAAAGAAAGAACTGTACCAAATAACACAAACTACATTACTTGAGGACTTTCAACAGCAGCAACAACTAAAATGGATAGCACTTGTTAATGAAAGAGACAATAATGACATAATGAAAATGATGACATTCTACATGACTTTAATTAAAAGTTTAGGAAGTAAACCCCTTACTGAAAAGAGTAATAATAGCTAATGGACTTGTAGTCATTTTGTTCCTTAATCTGTTTCATTCACCAAATAGTGCTGTGCAAGCCAAACAATCCACGATACGCATCTTCTGTTCGTTACCCAAAATTGCACTGCTATGTTGCCTTTTTTGTAGCTTGAGTGATAGAACATGTTTGAGACAAAGCCGACTTTGAGATCTATTTTTCTTAACAACCTTTTATTTGGAAAAATCAATGTCATTGTTGTCTCCCAAAAATTGTTAACGCAATATTCCCTTCTTTAACTTCTCTCCTTGACAAAAGAATTATTCTTACACTCCCAGATATTTTCTAGCTTTAAATAACCCACAAAGGGGTGATAAACTGTAAAAAAACAACAAAAAAACAAAAACAAATCATATGACAAATGTGTTTATAAAAGACTGGTTGCTACTGGTAGATTTTGTGGTTAATATAAGTCCAGATAATTACCTTTTTTGATGATGTAATTCATGAACAATGGAAAAGGTATTATTTTATTGCACACTCTATGATTCATATTTAGATTTTGACATTAAATGACCCATATGGATTGATATGCTGCTAAGCAACCCGACAATCACTCTCATCACTGACTGCTGACTCTTACCTACTGTCAATCACTACATTGCAACACCTGCCTTTCTACATCTCCTCCAACAGCTTGCCACTCATCAATAGGCACCTTAGAACTAACCATTTTAGCTATAACCTGCATATATAAACCTATGACCAATAATTCCTCCCTTCTAGCTAAGTGTCACTTACAACTCAAAAGTTTTTTATTTATTTGCTTCATTTTTTTACTTTTTCCTACTTCAGAGACAGTGGGGTTGAAGTGACTGCTTTGAAAACTTCGCAGATTTTACTGTTGGTCATGAAACACTAGACACATCAGATTCATATAAAATGATTCATAGTCAGCTTTTTGAGTATTTAAATCACAGCAGGTGTTATTGTGTTACATATCAACTCAACTGCAGCCCAAAATAATTTTGTAAGGTAGGTTAGATAAAATTGAAACAGTTTTGTGTCATTAAACATATCCTTCCAAACAGATGAAGAAATTTTGTGGATTTATAGATAAATGTAATCATTTTGGGATCACCTCTGAGCATTGGAATAACTGCAAAAACATTCCCCTTCCCAAATTTATAGACAAATCATACAGGTGCATGCTGGGATTTCTTTTTAGCCAATCAGATAGGCCACTACTTGGTCTCATCCAACTTACTTTGTTCTTTCTTGTCTTGAAGTCAGAATACTATGATCACTTGTTTGTATCCCCCTTTTATGTGTTAACACCTTTCCTAGTTTGTGAACTTTCTGCTTTATTACTGTTGCTTTGCCTAGTTTTGTCTTGCATATATTGTTTGCTTGCTTAATATTATTTTTCCCCCTGTTTATTTTTTCTCTCATTGTTTGTCACTTCTGTTCATTGGGCATTTCTATCAATTATGTTTAACCATGGCCAATTGCTATATGCTTTTGTCCCCCTTTCATTTTACAGAAATAATTGTATGTAATATTTTATGCAGTATTTTTTTTTTATTCTTACTCTGCGTTAATCATGAAATTGCTCCTCAAATACAAAATGTAACCCTGTCAAAATTAGCATAAATCTAATTATGTCCTCTACGTAGACCTGGATTTTTCTTTATCTTGACAGATATTTACTTTTTGTGTCAATCATAGATTCCTCCTGGAGTTGATGGAGGTAACGGTGGTTTCATGCCTTTTGGAATTTCTGGAATGCTTTCGGGTGCTGCAACCTGCTTCTATGGTTTTGTTGGTTTTGATTGCATTGCAACAACAGGTAAATTCTTTTATTACTTTTTTAGAAATTGCATTTTATTTACTTGTGATGTGGATCCCCATATGATGACATTTTTCATTTCTAACTTGACGCCTATTCTTCAACTTTTCATTTTTCTTTTTCTCATTCAATAGTAATTTAAATATATATATATATATATATATATATATATATATATATATATATATATATATATATATATATATATATATGTTATAAATGGACAAGGTCCGACAATTTATTTATTAAAGACATTTTTTTTATGTTTAACGTTGTTATTTTTTTATAGATACAAGTATTTAAGCAAATGCTCTGTTTATGATAAACAGTATTAAATAACATTTACCGGCCTGAATGTCCGAGAAATTTTCATAGAAAATATTCGTTCTTTGACAGGATTCAAACCTGCATCCTATATACGGAACCGTCATATTACGCTGACGTGCCTTTACCTCTAGGCTACAAAAAAACCAATCGGTAGACAAAGGTCGAATTTACTGCTTATAAACTCCTATCTTCCATGAATCTCGTACATTCATAACTGCTCTGGCGTATCGAATGTAAACAAATGACGTCATATGTTAAAAATGGACAAGGTCCGACAATTTATTTATTAAAGACATTTTTTTTATGTTTAACGTTGTTATTTTTTATAGATACAAGTATTTAAGCAAATGCTCTGTTTATGATAAACAGTATTAAATAACATTTACCGGCCTGAATGTCCGAGAAATTTTCATAGAAAATATTCGTTCTTTGCTTAAATACTTGTATCTATAAAAAATAACAACGTTAAACATAAAAAAATGTCTTTAATAAATAAATTGTCGGACCTTGTCCATTTCTTAACATATGACGTCATTTGTTTACATTCGATATGCCAGAGCAGTTATGAATGTACGAGATTCATGGAAGATTGGAGTTTATAAGCAGTAAATTCGACCTTTGTCTACCGATTGGTTCTTTTTGTAGCCTAGAGGTAAAGGCACGTCAGCGTATATGGGTTCCGTATAGGATGCAGGTTCGAATCCTGTCAAAGAACGAATATTTTCTATGAAAATTTCTCGGACATTCAGGCCGGTAAATGTTATTTAATACTGTTTATCATAAACAGAGCATTTGCTTAAATACTTGTATCTATAAAAAAAAACAACGTTAAACAAAAAAAAAAAATCTTTAATAAATATATATATATATATATATATATATATATATATATATATATATATATATATATATATATCTCCTTTTATGCTTAATGCAAAAAAATAAAAAATTAATATTCACAACTGTAACATTTTTTTACATACACCTTTGTGCAAATTAATTGAAACAAAATGAATAATTCTGTTATTTACTTTTTTTTGTGTAGTTTTCTAATGAAACATGACCCAGTTCACCTGTTAGTACTTTGTATGTCCATTCCACAAAGTCATTCCTTGCAAACTGACCACAGATTCTTAATTGAATTTAAAACAGGAGATTTTCTAGGCTTCTCTATAGTACTTTGATTTGCTCACTGGTAAGACTTTCCAGTGTTTTTGTGCAGTGTTACAATTTTTGTATGCTTCCTTGGAGTAATATCAATTACAAACAATGGCCATAGGACAACTAATCGACAGTTGAGACATTAGTGTCTGGGTGTGATAAAAATCTGATGCAATCACAGATGACAATATTTTCAAGATCAAACAAATTTCATCATACACACTGAAAATAGATTCAAATTACTGCACATCACTGCAAATGACCTAATCTGAGGAAAAAATAGAAATCGATTATACCCTCTTACTCCAGTGGGTATAAAACTGACCGAATGTTGAAAGAAAGGAAACTAAAGCAATAATTGGTGACCCAGAGACATTAGATAAAGAATTGGTTAGTATAAGCAGTACCCTACAACATAACAACTACCCTGGGTACATGTAAATCAGCATATATGCTAGGCCACAAAAATCTCTTGAGCCAACCAAGCATAGAAATGAATACAATATGGGAATCAGTAATAAGGAGTGACAGAGAAAAGCTATAATAACAATGAAAATTGCAATAAAAAAATCCTGCAATGATAACAGCAAAAATTGCAATATGAGCACTGGTAAAAAATGGAGCTGAAGACATTAAGTTTATAAGTCCCAGAAATTCATACAGAGATGTCCTTAAGGACACATGGTACAGTGGATAAAGGTGTTGGTTAAATCTAGTGACCCAAAGAGTTGTGAGTTTAATACCTGGTTAAGGCAGTGGAGAGGTGAATTAACAGGGGTGAATTACCAGGAGATAACTGATGTGGAACTAGATGGTTCAATTTGACATTCCAGCCACCTGGCTGAAATGTTGTGATAAATATGGCAACAAAAATGAGGACAATAGTATCTCATAATGTACATTATCTACTATAATATCTCGGATATTAATATGCACAATGATATATACCATTGTGCAAATTAATTGAAACAACTGCTTTTTATATATATATATATATATATATATATATATATATAAACATTGCAATAACCAGATAATTTAAGTTACTTAATGGTCAGTCTATACTCAGCACCTGAAGATTGCATTGTGCATGAAACTATGAGTTGTGCTATTGGTGAGAGATAATATATATATTTTTTTAATATATAACTCACCTGCTTTTCCTGTGTTGTAAAGAGAAAGTGTCACTCAGACAGTGTTTTCCCTAAAACTGGTACTTTGTGGAATAGACTTTTGCATGGAAAATTTTGTGGGGATAAATGAAACAAAATCGATGAATAAAATTATAATATTGAATAAGAAACAGAAATAAATTTTCCCATGATGCTAAGCGTAAAGGAACTGGAAATATGATTACCCCACTGGATGTCATCAAATACCATGAGACTGCATTGGTTAAGCCTATAAGAAGACAAACATTTTCCTGCTTCACTCTCTTTCTCCTCCTTGCCCCAAGATGTAGTACCACATGGTAATTACATTCTAGCTGGAGAATATCAGTTTCCCTGGTCTACTGACAAATTTTCTCTTTCCAATAAATGGCAGTTCCATGTGCCCTCCAAAAATCTCCACTTATGAAATAAGTCAAACTTTCTTTTAGGTTGTTCTGACTATACTTGAATATAGTGCAAGTTTCTATGATCAGTTTTATAACACAGAAAATAAGGAGTCACATTATACACAGGTACTTTTTTTTTATTTTTGAAGTGGTTAAAAATCATGCAATTTCTGTAACCAGTTTCACTATACACAGATAAATTTTTGTTCTGGAGGGGTTAAGATTCATATTTTTGATGACCTACCTAATAGGACTACATTCTTATGGTATCTTTGGTTAACCTTAACAGTACAGGTAAGCTTCTTTAGCCTGCACTTTATCTTCCAGATGTGGCCACCTTTTAGTCTCCATGGTATTTAAATCTTTGTATCAGAAAAGTGATTTTTCTCATCATTTTCAGCTAGCTTTGTACAAAAAAGAATGAAGACCATTTATTTGCTATAAAATATGTTCAGAATGTTATCCAGTCTTGAAATTTTTGATTATGTAGACCTAAGTTGGGGTTGCGTTATACACAAGCTATATGAAAAAAATCCAGTTTATCGTAAAAAAATTCAGAGTAGCACTATGTGTGAAGTGGGCTTATGAGTAAATATGGTAATGCCCAATTAGAGAGTTATTAAAAGTACTCCTAGCTGTCACAGTGCTGAGTAATTTTTTTTTTTTTTTCTTTCAGGGGAAGAAGCCAAAAATCCAGAGAAATCCATTCCTATCAGCATCATTGTCTCTCTTTTCATTGTGTTTATCTTCTACTTTGGAGTTTCTGCCGTTCTCACTATGATGTCCCCTTACTACAGTCTTGATTCTGAGGCACCACTGCCTAAAGTTTTTGAACTGGCTGGGTGGCCAGTTGCAAAATATGTCATTGCTGTTGGCGCTGTGTGTGCTCTAACTGCCAGGTACAATGCTTTGATCATAATTTTGTCTTGTTTTTCTTTTACATACTTTCTCTCTTTTCCTAGTCACCAAGTGACTTCATTTGTACTCATTAGGGACATCACTTACAAACCAGCTTCTTAAACTCTAATTTTCATTTTTTTTATTTAAAATTACCCCTAAAATTTGTTTTAATTAGGGAATATGTTGTAACCATGTTCAAAGCAATATGCAGAGAAATGGGTGAGGTAATGGAAGAAGGGTTTATTCTTCCAGTTTATATTTTCTCCATTATTGGCATTATTATATCTATGATATAAAAATACCTTATTTCATGAATGGAACAGAATGGCTGAAAGGAAAAGGAATGACAAACATGCTTTGTTCTCAGAGAGAGTTTTATACCAAGTCGTATATACACACACACACACACACACACACACACACATATATATATTTACATGTCCTGCAAAGAGAACTTATAATATGTATACAATAACAAGCAGAGTGAAAAGAAGCCAAAATATAACAATTCTCAACAGGAAATACAAATGCCGGAGATTCTTCTGTGTTTCAGAATAAACCATATTTAGGATTTGAGTGGGCCAGAGGGGGCAAATTTAGCTTCTGTCTGTGCAAGGCAAGGACCCTGTCCATGCTAAAATAGTAACTGCTTGGTTTGACTCTTGAAGCTGATTGAAAGAAAGACCACTGTCATCACTTTATAAAGTGATGTCACTAAGTGGTCATCACGAGAATTCAACTTGATCAAAGGAAGATAATCTCTTTGTATCCCTACAACATGAAGGAAAATAAAGCATTGATAGAGAAACTATAGATTTAGTGCTAACTCGGTTAAAATAATATGTATCGGTCAAAAGTAGTGAGAAAGAAATTTGCCAAGGAGAAAGAATGTTTTAGAATTTGGTGCTGTTCATATATTAATGTGCCACACGATTGCATGTCTAAGGGGAGATAACCTCCCACTTTTTTTTCTTTTATTCACATAGATATGTAAATGTTACAGAGGCAACAGAAAAATCAGGTGTGAAATATCAGTTTTACCTGTGTCAAAATTTAACACTTGTCACTTTTTTTCATATTTGAGAATGTTGTAATTATTTGAAAAGATGTTTTTATTCAGATACCAAGTCTATTAACTATTACCTAAAAAAAAACCCCAAAAAACCCAAAACAAATGACATGTATTACACATTAAAAAAAGAAATTGTGTATATTTTAAAATATTACAATATTGTTGTTTATAGCCTGACGTATTATACCAGCTTAGCTATGAAGGAAAGCGTCTGCTTACAAGGTTGAATTGTTGCTTTTAAACTACAAAATTCCCATGATTTTCCTCAAACATTCATATCTGCTCGAAGCATATCTTAATGAAAACAAATGATGTCATATATTATGAAGTGAACTAAGTCTGACTATTTATTATTTTAATATATATTATTTATATAGACACAAATATTTAAGTAAATGCCCTATTTATAATAAACAGTATTAACAATATTTACCAGCCTGAATGTCCAAGAAATTACATAGAAAATATGCATCCTCTGAGGAAATTTTGAGGGAAATCAATTTGAGGCTGGTTTTGAATTCAGTTTTTCTTCTAGGTTGGTTGCTACCTCAAAGTGATTGACTCCAGTCTGCTATTTAACTCCTAGCTAGAGGCAGAAGAGGTGAATTCATACTTTTATATCCCAGATTGTTGAGATGAACAAAAATGAAGGAAAATAAGATGAATGTATTTTAACACACAATAAAACAATTTTTATTCATTTACTGTCTGAGAACAGCAAGGATTTATTTGGATTTAAACCATGAATTCCATGTGCATGTCAGCTTGTCACCATGGTGAATTCAGAAATGCTGCACTGCTCATTCAGACAAGGAAAGTAACTCCATTGTATTTTCAGTCATTGTCCTTTATGGAAGAAGAAAATTTAGCTTTCCCTAATAATACCTTTCTCAGGGCATTTATGCAGAAGTGAATGTATTGAGCACAACCAGAATTCAAACTCATCTTGTTGGTTTCTATTTATCCAAATCAATAACTGTTAACCTATCTGCATGTGCAAATGAAATGACAATTCAGTATTTTAAAGGATCTTAATAGCTAGCAATGAGGGAAAGTATTTCCTTAATTTTCGAGAAAAATGAATTTATCTCTTTCTTTTTTTTTTTTTTTTTTTTTTTTCAGTTTAATTGGTGCCATTTTCCCTTTACCACGTGTTGTCTATGCCATGGCAGAGGACCGACTTATCTTCGGCTTCTTAGCCAATGTCTCAGATAAATTAAAGACACCAATTAATGCAACAATTGTGACAGGAATCTTATCTGGTAAATTCTTCCTATTACTTGAATTATCTGAAGCCTGTTTTTTATTGTAAGCAATACCTGTAACTATGTTTCATCAGCTTTGCAAAAGTATTTGATAAAGTATGACACAAAATCTACTTGAACTATTAGGAAAATTTGATTTCGGAAAGATATTAGAATAATCTGGAACATTACTGGAAAAAAACTGCCTGATAGAAAATGAATTGAGCAAATATGAATTGAGATGAGTAACCATTACAAAGTCAATGCAGATATATGTGCTATAAAGCCAAATATTGAATTGGATGAATGTACATTTATTCTTCCTTTTTATATTGGTAAACCATTCTATGGCTTCAGCTGTTTTGTGCCACTAGTTAATTCCTAGAGCATTTTTGGTGTATTTGCATGCTCTTTCAAGGATGTTTTTGATGATTTTACCAATATTTTTAGTTGGGTTGAGTAAATGGCATTGAGAGTTGTTTAGAAAATTAGCCTTTATGATCTTTAACTGTGATGAATGCTTATGTAATTTGTGAATCATATCATCAGTTTTTAGTTCCATGGCTATTTTCTTAGCTACACTATTATTTTCCCAGTTATTGGGTGTCTTTTTGTAAAACTTATTAACTTTCTTGTTAATGGCTTTATTGTACATATCCGCATTGACTTTGTAATGGTTCCCCATCTTATCTGCTTTGATTGGATTATCTGCTTTTTGTTGGATTTTTTGATCATAGCAATCTCTTTAGTATTTTTTGTTGTAGATCATTGGTAATATTAACAAATTTAATGTATGACTGATAATATTGTATACTGAGCAAGCACACATTCTGGTACCAATGTTAAATTTTATTTTGGTTCCACTGAAAATCCTTGGAAATTTCATTTTTACCATCATTGAATAACCTTAGGTAATATATAATACAAAAACAGTACTACTCTCCCCAAATATTTCTGGCAATTAATGAATAATGATATCTCAGCATCAGTCATCTGGGAAATTATATCTAGAGCTAAAATAGAAAAGGAAATAAATGTAACTTATGTTATGTTGAAAAATTAAAACACTTAAATAACCCTAGCTTATTAAACAAGAGAAATGAATTGATGGTTACATGTAGGCATAAAAATAAATATCTGCTTAAGTATGTTGATTCAGATTAATTTTTAACTTTTAATGTAAATTACTATTTATTTTGAATGTAAATTTGTTTTTTAAAATAAGAACAAGTAATCTCCCTTTAATTAAAAAATGTATATTCACCACTCAAAAATTTTTTAATTTTCTTTTTTTTTCTTGTATACATATATAACTACTGCTTATTTTAATTGCCAAATACAGTTTTTAAAATTAAAAACTGTAATCCCAGCATAATATATAACTATGCCAACATTGTGATAAGCAGATATATTAAAATTGCGTAAGAGTCGGTATATACTTGGCACCTGAAAATTTTATTGTGCATGAAACTCTGAGTTCTGCTAGTGGTGAAGGATAATATGTATATTTATTAATAAAATATATATACTCACATCAACAGCAGGCAATATAACTTTAATAAAAATGTAAAAGTACGTCTACAGCAGCAGATGTATTAACTTTATCAATTTGTTCATGGATTTGCTGTTAATATGAAATAAATTTTAATTAATATTTTGAATGTAACTACTACTTTTATTCTATAAACTGAGTTTTTCTTGCATCCTGTTTTGACTTTTAATTACAATGAGTAATGTATTGTTCCCACAGGACATAGGCGATCATGACTCTCCACTACTTCTTACTTTCTGTAGTTCAAAGCAGTATTTGTCTACATCCCATCCCTCCCCATCCTTGTTCTGCCATCCATTTACATAAGCTCGGTAGGCAGGGTTGATGCAGGGGTTATGCACTGCTACTTTCTGTCCCTCTTGCTTTCAATATGTCTGTAAGTGTCAAATTCTCCAGACCTTCAATATGAGTCCCAAAAATTGTAACTGTCTTTTTGTAAGTCAGACTCTTATTTTGGTTCCCATATATATTTTAAATTGCTCACATGTTCCATCTATGGTATTCTCAGCATCCTTCTGTAGAACCACATTTCTGTTATTCTACTTCATCTGTGAAGATATTGTATAACATTTACTGCCATATATGAAGTGGGATATCATATAGCAGTTCAGCCCTCTTTGTTTCTAATGAAATTTTCCTGTTCATTAATACTTTCTTTAGCTTTACCTAAGTGTCTTTGATTTTCCATTGAATCAATGTATGACAGTGGTTCCCAAATGGTGTGGCATGGCAGAAGATGATAACAGGTGAGGCAGAATGAAAAAATTCATATGCCAAAAATAAATATAATTTCAAAATTAAAAATATTACAGATTACTTGTAATTGCATGCATTCATACCAGTATAAATAGTTATAAATAATTATTGACTGATATTTTTCATTGTGATATTTTATCATTGTATTAAGTATATATAGTAACTAGAGTCTGCAAATTGAAGGAGAGAATTATCAATGATAAGAATCTGACTTTGAATCCGTGGTGAGGTGCAAGCAAATTTTAATTCTGAAAATGTGGCCAAGAGAAAAAAAATAGTTTGGGAACCACTGCTTTGTATGGTGGAAAATTTTACAAACCTGGAAAATGCAGGAAAGATAGTGTTTGGCAGAATGTGCATGACATGAATTTTATTGCACTGATTGATGAAAACTGACTTCCAGTATTCTTCAAATATGAGCAAATTTCTGTTAATTTCTAAACTTTATCAAAATGTAGAAATAAATGATACATTTGTGTTACAACGATCCTTGGAAATCATTTCACAAACACAATTTCTCTTTTTTTTCTTTTCTTTTTTTTTCTTTTCCAGGTATGACGGCATTACTTTTTGATCTTACTGAACTTGTCAACATGATGTCGATTGGGACATTGCTGGCTTATGCTTTTGTAGCTAAATGTGTTGTAATATTAAGGTAAGTAATTATCATTTCTTTTTGATATCCTTACATACAGCTAAGGTAAATTGCTTAAATTGACTTTGTTTTACCTTTTAACTTTTTTATAATGTAACGAGTTTACCTATACTGTTAAAAGTTTTTATTATTAAAAAGTTATTTTTCCCAATATTGTTGCACCTTGCTCTTTCATGGAACCACTGTTTTCATGTGTTTTTAGAAAAATCTGTAAGTTTTGTAACAAAGACTGCCACCCAGTGCAAGCGAGAAAACTCTAAAACAGCTAAAAGTCATTAGTCGAAAGATGCACTTGGCATTCTATATAGATGTTTAGTAATATACTTAATATGAAACACACCAGTGTATAAGATGGACCCTTATTTTTATGACTACAGTTGTTTTTGAAAAAACTACACTCTGCAGGTTTGAATTCAGAGTTGTCCTTCTCCTAGACTTGTTGCTATCCAAGGCTATAGAACCCAATCTGTCCTGTTATTTAACCATAGCTGGTGGGAGAAGAAAAGGATTCATACCTTTCCCAAGGGTACTAGCATGTAAGTAAATGTAATGGATTCAACTGGAATTCGAACTTGGCTCTCCGATTCCTCAATCCGAGCCGCTATCCACTACTCCACCGTACCTCTCTCTCTCTATATATATACATATTTATTTATTTTTATATTTTGTTCTGAACAAGTTTACTATTATTTAGTTTTGTTCAAAACCTGGAAAAATCCTTGTTGTTTTCACTTTGGCATGGAAAGGAATCAGACATTTCATCATTGGATCCCATCAAAGAGAATATGTTATCTTTGGTCACCTCTGAGTGTTGACTTCAATGTTCATTTATATGCTCTATCTATGATATTGAGCACTTTATCCTGTAAATATAGCACACCTTAAAACTATATTTATATATATATATATATATATATATATATATATATATATATATATATATATATATATATAAAGTATTTATTTTTTTTAATTTTTACATTTTTATTACAGTGAATAGTTTATATTTGAAATAGATGTCCCATTTTGTTTTATTAAACAGTGTTTATTATGCCTGTCTATTGGGGTCTTCACTTTCAAGAAATCTTAGTAAACAAAATGTGTTTCCCAGCAGGGAACGGACCTGCACCCCCTATTTGTAGGGAGAAACCTCTGTTTGATACAGTGTGCATTGCCACTAAGGGTGGTTTCCCCTACAAAGGGGGTCATAGGTTTTCTTTACTAAGACTTCTTGATTGTGCGGTCATTATTATAACTTAGAAATATACAAAGTTTAATAAATCAAAATGAGGCATCTACTATAAATACAAAGTATCCACTATATATATAATATATCTATGTATGTATGTATATGCCTTCAGTGTATAAGTTACAAGCAGATTTTCACATCAAATTTTGGTGTAAAAAAGTTCATCTTATACACTGAAAAATATCATGTTTAAGTTTCAAAGGAAACTGGCTTGTGTATTGTTTTATCAAAATTTCCCAGCCTCAAACCAGGTGTTTTCAATTTTTGTTATAGATTTAGTTGTATGATAAATTGTTTTCATGACCATTTGAGACTTTGTCCTGGGTATGACTATAAACTATATCTGGCAGCAAGGCCTTTGATTGATAAGTTTTGAGGAGTGTGGAACCACCTCTTACTTGCTGTTGTTCCCAGGACCACCCTGACCCCGGATTGCTAGCACCTGCTATGGACAAATAGTGAACCCCCAAATTAGGCTCAAAATATGAAAATATAAAAATACATAAGAAAAAATTACCAGCAGTACATTTTAATTGTGAAAAAAAAAAAAAAATTACCAGCAGTACATTTTGATAGTAAAAAAAAGAAGAATGTTCAAATCTCACAAGAGTATAAAATTTTGGCCTTAAATGACCCATAAAGAGTTGATATGCCTTTAAACAAACAAACCAAACCTTTCAAGACTGTTGCACAGAAAAAATGAATATTGCTATACAGATATATTACTGGTACAGATCCCTAAAATCCAGACAGTCACAGCCAAATGAGGAAATATCTGGTAAGCATAATTATACATACCAGTGTAGGCATGCTGTTGATGAAATAATGATTTTTAAAGTTCAAAACAAATTGCGTTTTGTGTTACAGTGGGATTTGGCTGTGATGAAAATGCCCAGATAGTAAAGTGAATGATAAATTATTTTATCCGTGACGGAAGTAATGGGCATTTTATAACCAGCAGTAAAGTCTAAGAGTAAGATCATCTTCAAAGCAACTACCTGCTATCCAGAAGTAGTGAAATGGAAATAACATTAATAAATACTTGAAAATTTCTGCATCATGTGCCCCTGACCAGAAGATAGGAAATTCCTGTTGTAGTATTATATATGCAGATTCACAGTTAGAATGGTCAGTTGAGTTCTTACTGGTTGAAAGAAAGATCTGTTCTGTGAGAAATGACAGAAATAGCAGTGAAGATGTACCCAGTGTCACCCACTCCCTTTATCCTGTAAATTCATGAATAAATAGCCAAATATATTAAAAACAGGGTTAGTATTTTTTTATTTCTTGCCATTGTGTTATTTTCACCTTTCATTCCCTTCTGAATGTATAAACCTTTTACATTTTTTTTCACACGGGTGAAAACTGGAATCAAAACACAATGTTTGCCCAGTGGGTAAAAGACTGAGAAAAGGCCCCAGTTGTAAGTTTACAGTTTCATTATTGGGCATATTCAAGTGAGAGCTGTATAAAACAAAAAAAAATAAACTGCTAAATATTTACAATTGTTTGGACTGTTGTCTTCATCTTCGTTGCCATATTCAGAATTTTTTGGTTGTTGTATGTGCCAACCTTTATTCAGGTGATTGGAATTTCAAACTGAACCCTTTATTTTGTCCACCAGTGTAGATTGTTCTTTTCCCATGTGACATGCCTTTTCCAGATGTCTCAGTATCAGTTATCTTCCTTTAACTCAACTCTTCATGTTTTTGTACACCTCTGTTGTAGCCAGGTATCGAACTCATAACTCTTTGGATCAAGTCACTGGATCCAACACTTTTATCTACTGAGCCATGTGTACTTGAGTTGCGAGTTCAATACCAGGCTACAGCTAAGAACAAAAACTTGGAGATAACTGATACTGAGACATCTGGAAGAGGCATGGCATGCAGAACTAGCACAATCTACCTGGTGGATGAAATAATGGGTTCACTTTTAAATTCCAATCACCTGAAGACAGTCAGTGTACAACAGCTGAAACATCATAAATATGGCAACAAAGATGAGGATAATAGTCCAAGCAATGTAAATAGTGTAAATAATTACAGTTAGAAATATAGACAGGGATAGGTAGATAAATAGATAGACTTATATAATTGTAATTAATGCAATAAAAACAAAATTGTTTATGTTTGTTATTGTTTTTATTCACATATTTACATTGATTTATTTTATTATCCTTATCCCCACCAGTTTTTATTTATTTATTGCTATACTCCCAGGAAGAGACTCCCAAGAAGATATTTCATTGATCACTACAATCTAAACCTGCTCAAGTCTCAAGTTAATTGTTATCTTCCACACCTATCCACATAAAATGTTCTTCTTGCTCTGTAACCCTCTACCTCAATTTATTTTACTTTTATTTTTTTAGGTATAAAGTAAAAGCCTTTGATACAGAGATGATTGTGAATGAATCCAATCAAGGCCCAGAAATGAATAGGTAAATCTTTATTCTTTCAAATTCTAGTAATCTTCATGATCTCAAATACACTGGGCAATTTTTATACAAATGATTTCAGTATCCAAGACTGGGCATGAATAGTGCTACCAACATGCTAATGTTGTTCTCAAGACAAACTTCTGGAAATCAACAGAATTTTTTTTCTTTAGCCTAGATAAAAAATATTTTCATTTAATATTGATTTTTTTTTTTTTTTTTTTTTTGTTTATAATGTCCTATTTATAGCAGTTTATTTTAAAATTTGAAAACTAAGTTTTTTTTTTCTTTGTTTTCATCAGCATTTTTAATTCCTAGTGCTTGGTAAGGAAAATTATTTCCATTGTAAATATTGTAAATATGGGGCAAACACAATATGTATCTAATTACCCCAAGCCTATGGCACACACTTTAGAATTGAACTAAGTGTTGTTCATTGTGGTTGAGTTTGTTTAGACTTGAATGAATTTTTGGTATTTTAATTTATTCCAGCAGTTTTTTTTTTATATTTTGCCTGACATAATCACTTGATATTGTGTCTTTAACTTGATATCTAGTAAAAAGAAAAAAACAAGATAAATTTTCTTTTCTTTTTCAGTGACTCTCACAGTGAACCTTTTACATTCAAAGAACTATTTCGTCCATTTACAAACATGCCAAGCAAAAGAACAGAACAAATTGTTATTGTCTGCTCACTACTTCTCAGTAAGTGATTAGTTTTAATTAATTAGAATTAAAGGAAAAATCAAGGGAATTGAATATCATTGATTTGTATCTTATTCTTGTATTTGGAAATTCTAATTTGAGAAAATTCTAAGGAAATTCAGAGAAAAATAAATCAGAATTAAATAGTAAATGACACCAAAAACCTTTCCAGCTTCCTACCAGACATTTGAGTAAAATTCTTCTAAAAACTGAAAGCTCTTTGATTTAGGTGAATTGACAAAAAAGTAATGTTTTATCTTGGTAAGTAATTATGGATTATTTCTGTATTAAAAATAAGAATTACTTTAGTCTAAGATAGGTTATTATTTTTAAATATTTTTTGCATCAAACTGTGTTAATGAAAACACCTTGTGAGGAATAACATTTCTAAACCTTACTTATTCTGGTAGGCATTCTGCCTTGCATTTATATTTGCACTTAAAGTACTTTTCAGCCTTTTCTTTTTTTTTTTTTTTTTTTTTACTCGGTGATGTTAATGTTTAGAACAGATCTGTGAAAATCAAAATTTAGCTTTCTTGATTTTGTTAATGAAAAATATAAAATCTGATATATAAAAACCCATTTCTGTAAAAATAAAATGTATTTTTCTTTGTCAATTTATTTTTCAGGTCTTTGTACAATTATCCTAAATGTTCTTCTCATTTATAAGGAAAAAGACCTTAATAAGTTTGGCTGGGTAACTTGTTTACTAGCCATTTTTTGCATCATTATTCTTGGACTTGGCATCATCATCTGGTGCCAACCACAAAATCCGGATGAGCTTCCTTTTATGGTAAGTAAAAATTCATGTACAATATTGTTAGGCATTCTCACTACAACTGAGACATTCAGGAAATCCCTGTTCTGAAGACAGAGAGGCAGGTGATTTGTGAGTGACACATTGTGAACTGGAGTTGCTTTTTTTCTTCACACTTGATGTAACCTGAGAACAAAAAGATACAAATATTTACATTGTTTGGACTGTTGTACTCATCTTTATTTTCATATTCACAACGTTTCGGCTGTTGTATGTTCTGACCTTCTTCAGGTGATATATGTTGGAATTTCAAACTGAACCTTTTATTTAGTCCATTGGGGTAGATTCTAGTTCCATGTGTCATGCCTTTTCTTGATACCCCAGTTTCAGTTATTTCCCTTTAGTAACTCAACTCTTCAATTCTTTTTTTTTTTTTTTTTTTTTTTTTTTATTCACCTCTGACATGTGGATAAAAGCGTTGGTTGAAGTAATCCAGTGACTTGACCCAAAGAGTTGTGAGTTCAATACCTGGCCACAGCAGAAGTGAACAAAAAGTTGAAGAATTTAGTTACTAAAGAGAATTAACTGAAACTGAGATATCTAAAAAGGCATGGCATGTGGAATTAGAAAAATCTACCTCAGTGTACAAAATAAAGATATCAATTGGAAATTCCAACTGAACAAAGCCTGAGTGTACAATATATATAATATGACAATAAAGATGAGGACAACAGCCCAAACAATGTAAATAGTGTAAATAGTTATAATATCTCATCTCAGAAATATAGACAGATGTTGAAATATGCAAATATATACAATACATGGCCAACTTGTATTATGCCAATATAAGCAACAAAAGTAGCTGGAGATATAGGTAAATGGCTAAATGATGGATAGGAAAATTGTTACCCCAATTTTTCAAGTAGGCTGAACCTGTCTGATTTAAAAAAAAAAAAAGAAAAGATTTTATCTTTTAGAAAAGCTTGAAAACTAATGCTCATGTGGAATATTTATCTTCACCATTAAGCTGACCCCAAAATACAATTAATGATTCCCCATGCCATCCTAATTTATATGATTTTTTTTATTTTTTTTATTTTGACTCCATACTTTTCAATCTTTCAGGTACCATTAGTTCCACTGTTTCCAGAAGTCAGTGCTGCCATAAATATCTATCTCATGTTGAAGTTACCAAACTCAACATGGGTACGTTTTGCTGTATGGATGGGATTAGGTAAGAAAATTTTTTTCTTTCTTCTAGGTATGTCTCCTAATTTTACAGATGTCTATTCCAGTCTGTAGCAGAAATATTTTATTTTTTGTAAGATAATATGATAATGTAAAAATTTCTTATGAGTTTCTATTTAAAGTTTATGATTCTGATAATTTAGAAAGAAATAGTTATTTTTTTTTTTTTGCATAACTTAAAACCAACAATTTAATATTGTTCACTGTCAAATGTTATCTTTTTCTCTCCAATTGAAATTGTAACTTCATCTCATCTTAGTGTTACTCTTGCTTTGGTAGAAAACAAAAAATAGATGTGATTGTCTTTGTCTAAAATCTTTTTGTTTTCATTGAAAATTCAATAGTTTTGATTATTGGTGCTAAATATCAGTTGTTGGGCACATTGATGTTTGAACTGTCAATGGTCGGTAATGTATATATTAATATTTCTGAAGCAAAGCAACTAGTTAATATTTCTTTTATATATTGCTCAATACAGAAAGTTTGTCATGTCCTACTGCATTAATATTTTACAAGACATTGAAACGTTTTTTTTTTTCTTCTTAATAATTGTAATATTATGCTTTTTTCATCAAATACAAAAGGTTGCATGGAATAGTCCTACTGGTGCAAATGTTCTTTTATATATATATATATATATATATATATATATATATATATATATATATATAATGTGGGTGTTTAATAAGCATGGAACAAAATGATTGTCACAAATTATCAAATTATTTGAAAAATTGACAAATGTACCAGACAGAATAATCCCTATACTGCTGTGTGGGGAAATTAAAGGAAATAATTTAATCATACCAGCCCTTGTAAATTGGTACACAAGAAGACACAATAGTTTTGTCAGCTTTCTCACTTATATTTACAGTAAATATAAAATAAAACTACAACAGTGACGCACACACACACACACACAATTTTGTTTTTTATTTTACTTCCCTTTATTTGTTTTCACATATATTTTAGCAATGTAAATTCTTGTGAAACCTTTTCTTTTACTATGCATGATATTTTAAAAAAAATCTACTAAATCCATTTTGTTTAACAATTATAACCACAAAAGTGAGAATAATTTATAGAGTATCTGGCTTTTATTTATTTCTCCATTGCCTCAGTGTTTTTTTTTTCTTTCTGTCTCTGTTGCAATTTGTGTTAACAATTTCTGTGATATACAGTAATTATCTCTTGCCAAGTGTTCATGGTTGCACATACACACACCACATCCCCCACACCCATTAAAATTGGTGATGGCATATCTATTTCTATGCATTGAAAACAATGGATTAAAAAGTGTCATTAGTTAAAGTAAAGATAACATTAGAACATTACTATTTTTGTCATTCAAATTGTCTGTGTAATTTTGTTGTAATATACGGCAAGAGTGCATTGAGGTTGGGGGGAAATGCCTAATGGATTATTCTCCCAGCAACTGGGGTGGGGGGGTTAATAGGCGGAGGTGGGGGAAGAGATGATAGATAACACTGCCTTGGAAACAACAACAACTTTAACAAAAATGCCCATGTTTATTCTTTGGCATGAAGCATCTTACAAAGACCTTGATCTTGATCAGCTGCAGAGAGGCCAGTATCTAGACATGTCAAACAGTCCTGCTGCTAATGGGGAAACCTGGATGTAACTGGTCCGCATGTGATCCAGGGCCCCTGTTGCATCTGTACTAATGCATGTTCACCACAAATTTAAATTCCACATTTTAATCTTAGTATGTTACTATTTAGTATTAATCTTAATATTAGTTTTTAAAAGTCTTTTTTTTTTTTTTTTTTTTTTTAAATTTTTTGTTTATGAAATTTTTGTTTATGAAATTTTTGTTTATGAATTGATCTTGTTAGAAATTCTGGTTGAATATTTAAAATCTAATTTCACCTCAATTTTTTTCCCAATGAAGCCTTTTTTTCATTCTTTTTGTCACCCTGATATTTGGCTCTGTTATACAAAACACTATAAGAGTATCCTCTTTTTAAGAGTGTGTGCGGGTGAGCTTGCTGAAACTATTCCTGACTTTTTATCAACCTTGCTTCATAAACAACTTCCTCTCTCCTTCAGGCTTTTTCCTCTATTTTGGTTATGGGTTTTGGCATAGCATGGCAAGGAAAGACAACACCACATCCAAGTATCTTCCAATTTCTGAGGAAGATGATCCTGAAGACACATCCTAAGAAGAGAATTCTGTTTTTTTTTTTTTTTTTTTTCAACCTTTTGCTGCTTATCCAAAATCCCAGCAGCAGAAAGATGTATCTCTTTCTATTTTATTCTCTGTCCATTGCAATCTGTGTTTTTGTTTGTGTTCAAACAAACAATCATTTTCAGAAGACAGCTTCATTTTTGAATTTGAAAGGAACTCCAGGCATCATTAATGCATAAATTTTGAACTGGCAAATTTCTCAGTTTTGATGAAAGACTAAATCAAATTGATTCATGTTTGTTACTCCTTCATTTCCAAGTCCAATTATGATTGAATTCTTTTTATCCTCGGGGAAAAGAAATTTCAAGGAACAGACATTTCCAGATTCAGAGTTAAGTAGATTTTATGCAAAAATTGATTTTTTTTTTTTTTTTTTTTTTTTCTTAAAATTAAATTAAAAATCAATTCTGATTAATTTCAGTTTCTCCCAATATCCACATTACCAAATCATAAGAAGTTCTGCAGATGCTGCAACAATAATCTCTTTTGAAATTATCTTAATTACTCATTATATAAACTTGGCAGTGATCAATTCGAAATACAAAGTAAAAACTATTTGAGATTAGGATAATAAACACCTTTAATTTTTGTTTTTAAATATATGTAATAAATCAATTTAGATCATAAATTAATGGAGATAAATATTGAAAAATAAAAAAAAAATAAATAAAAAATGCTTTATTTTCCTTAAATTTTTAACAGTTAAAGAAAAATTTAAAAAAAATTCCATTTCCTCATTATCAATATCATGTTATTGTTTTTAAACACTTTCCTTTTTTGCATATTATATATGTGAGTGTGCATGTATATGTACACATACACACAAAGTGGTCATCTTTGAGTTCAACACCCAGCAGAGACAGTCTGTTTCATGCTTAAATACAATCTTTAGGCCTGAAGTCCACTTCTTTATTTATATATGCTCTATACCTGATATTGATCATTTTAACCTATACATATTGCATACCTTAAAACTATATTTTTATCATATATATAATGACTTGGGATACTTTTCAGATCATTTTTAAAAAATAGGACTTCTTTTTATCCTAAATTTACCATTCCTTAATGCTTCTGCTTACCTTGTTTTGCAAAAAAAAAAAAAGAAAAAAAAAGGCAACCTACCAACCAACAAATTTCACTATAGATTTCTATAGCTTAGATTAAACAAGTTCAATTGTACATATTTATGCCACCCTTGCATTGAATTTCTTACTCCGTAAACCTATTGTTCAGGTACAATAACCCTGAAAGTACTATAAATTAACAATTTTTCCATGATTAGCAATTTTACCAACTGTGATAGGGTTAATAATAAGTTTAGAATTTGATCTTGTTAGGAAAACTTTCATTGTTTTACATTTATCTCCAGAGAATTTCAATATTTTAGCTTATTGTTTTTTTATTTATTTTTTCCCCTTTCCCAGTAAATATTGTTGGACAAGTTCAACTTAGAAAAAAAGGCATTCAGTAGATCATTTTTAATAACTTGTTAATATTTAAATTAGTTTTACTTTTTAATTTTAACAAAAAATTTAATTATTTACAATATTTATTAATATAACATTTTGGCCATAGTACCTTCTGGCCATCTTCAGTGAATTTCAAACCGAACTCTTTATTAAATTTATATGAGGCGATTGTATTTGTTCTACTGCTCATATCTAAGGATATCTTGTTCTTATTTAGTACTGCTCAGTTAATATTTGCACTGTGTTTAAAACTGCCATGCTCTCTCTCTCACTTCAAGGGCTTGTTGAAAGGGATTTAGAAAATCTATGATCCATACAACATCATGATGATATTCAGAAGCAGCTCAAGCTTACGAAGAAACCTCAGCTGAGCCAAGACAAATACATAAAACATGACCAAGAACTATGTTTGCAGTTGTGGCAAAGTACGCAAAGAGCAAATCAGGAGGATCATCAAAAAGCAGTAATTATGGGTGAGACAATGAAATCAGGCATGGCTGATCATGTATAAAGGGGAAAAGGGTAGTTCTCAACCACTGTGGAATGAAGTAAAAATACTAAACAAGAGTCAAACATCAGAAAGAATCAGCACATATACTAGGTTATGACAATCTCCTTTGTAGGCGTAGTACAAAAATAAATAGCATAATGGGATCTGTTAATAAATAAGTAAGGAGGAATGGCAGCAAGGCTTCAGCAACATTAGTGAAAAAAGAAAAGCCATAATAAATGTAGTTAAGCATAACAGCAAGCAGATTAGATTTAAGGCTTCAAGTTCTACTCTCAGGATTACCACACTAGTGGATTATGTTTTGTTTTGTGAGTTCAATCCCTGGGCTGGGCAGTGTAGACATAGAACAATTGGAAACAGGGCAAGTAATAACTGAGAATTACTGAATAACAACAGTCTTAAATAAGTTAGACATTCCCTGAAAGTTACTTGGATTCACAAGCACTTGAAGTTCAGAGGGCACAATAGCCAAAATTTTGTGATAATAATAACAAAGATAAGGACAATCATTTGAATGTAAATTGTAACTTTTCATTCCAGATAGAAAAAGTTTAAATTGATTCAATGAAATGTTAAAATATATTTTGTACAAAAATGTTCTTCAGGACAAGAAGAAATCTTGTTGCATTTAATTTTTGGTAAAATTAATGTGAAAAGTTTATCCCACTAAATGTTTGGCCTTTTATTTATTTTAAAACCAATCTTGTTCGTATGAGAATCGGTTATATGAACGATTCAACATAAATATTATAAACATTTTGCGTCCTGGTGGTCCCTTAGTCAAATTCATTTTTTTTTTTTTTTAATGGAGTTTCCTTGTAATGTTTAAAACAGAAATATATATATATATATATATATATATATATATATATATATATAAAAACATGTTTTTTGTACTTAGAAACTGTCACATTTTGGAAAATATTTGCTGTCTTTAAACTTAAAAAACAATTTTTTTGTTGATTTTTTTTTTTTTTTTTCTTTTGTTTTAAAGCAAAAAAGTTTTAAAATTTTCTATTTTTTTATTGCATGTTTACAAAACCTGATAAAAAAGCTGTTATCAAACTGTTGTAATTTTTTTTTTTTCTTTTTACACAATGCTAGATTGTTGAATAAATTATTTCTTTGCATTACAAAAACAGAACAAAAGATATAATTTGTGATTTGCTTTGTTCTGATCACCCTGTATCCTATTTTCTTTAAGATACAAGATGAATTCAGAACAAGACAAAACTCCATTTCATGAACTTAAAATTATTACAAAACCTAACTGATACCAAATATTGTGCCTTGATATTGATTCATTATTGTTAAAGATATTAAGCATAAGTTTATTTTTTTAAAATCTATTTTTATCAATTTGTCTTCCTATTCACTTTTTTGTGCTCAAATTATGGTTTGTTTCATTCACTTTATATTAATGTCCTTGAAAAAAAAAAGTATGAATCCATCTCACTCAAGCAGTGGTTATTTAAGACAGACTGGATTCTCTTATTTGGATGGGAATCTGACTAGGAGCTGGAAAGGTTCAAAACCAGACTGAAGTGAAATGGACTCCATCAATTTATCTCGAACCCTACTATAGTTACGGGATTCATCATTGGAAAGTTTTTTGCATTATTAAATAAAAAGTTTTATCTTTTTTTTTTTCTTGTTGATTTTCCAAATTTTAAGCAAGATTTGAAGCTAAGAAAATATTGCTTCTAATTATTCACAAATTTTTGTTAGTATAAAATGCCATAATTTGCTAAGATAATTTTGCTTATTATTGTCAGAGGATTTTTGCTACTTATATTGTTGCAATCTCTTCTACAGGTTTTCTTATCTATTTTGGTTATGGTGTTCGAAAAAGCATAGAAGGTACTTCTACAACCAAGAAGTTGAGTAATTCCAACCAGAATCAAGTTCAGGAAATGTCCTGTGATACCACTTACCTTTGAGTTTCAAATAAACTGCCTGGGACGATTATTTAATTAAAATTTTTTTTTTTTTTTTTTTTATAGAAAAAATATGCCTGGGATATCATCATTCCAACCACCCCTTTCATTAAATACTCAAGAAATTTCCTCCTACCCTTTAATTTAGACGGTGAACATTCTAAGACTGTTACTCAAAATTATAGAAAAAAATATTTCCAGCCACACACTTTTACTTCAACCACCCTGTCTATTTGAAACTCATGCGTAGGTAAATTATTGAAACTAAATACGTTACACAGTTCTGGTCAAATTAAATTTTATATTTCAGGTTCTTAAATGTGAGTTCTTAACACTCCTCTTGAAAATAAATATTTAGATATAAATTAAAGATTTATGGCAGCATGTGAACGAATCTTTTTTTGGGTATCTTGTATTTCCATACAATTGTTAATTTTGGTGTTCATAAAGTTTCTAATTTGGCTGATATTCTGATGCAGGTTAATTAGAATTGAATATAAACAATCTAAAATCATGAAGACTCAACATACTTTAATTGTTCATCTAACTTAAAAACAAAACTTTCTTACAATAATCCCAGAAGATGTGAACATTGGCAAGCAATTAATTTCATGTCTTTAGATTAAAGAAGTCTTTTGTTCTTCACCTGATGACCATTTTTGGCCCAGGGTTACATACAGGTCCCAAACACGACTGTATCAAGGAAGTATTGGGTCCTAGTTAACAATTTGTCTTCTACCCGGTGGAATGAATTCATGGTTAGAAATTAACCTTCTCTGGTCAAAGTCTACCACACTTTGGGGATGTGCCAATTCAGTCTTTTGTTGGCCTTGTTATATGTGTGACAAAAGTGTATAACAAAACGTTTGAGAAATACCTTGACATAGTATTTCTCATACTGCAGGCTGTGATGTGAATCTATCAACAAAAATAATTACTGTATTTGCTGGCATCAAAGGAGACACAGTTTTTATTATTCATGAAATAAAATCTTGAATTTGCTGTGCCTCCTTGAGGACAAAAGTTAGGATTTTTGTAGGGGTCTAAGAAAGTGTTATCTATGCCAGATAGTAAAGTGAATTCCTATTATTTCAGGATAAAAATTGTGTCCTTGACACTGGCAAATATTGTATGTAGGTGTGAAAGGAGTTTTGCATAGACAAAAACTGGCTAAAATATGAAATGAAGGCCATCTTTGTAGATATCTGATAAGAAACAAAGATATCAACTCAATCCATTATGAAATCATTAAATATACAAAAATACATACTGTCTGTACGATGAAGAAGCTGCTATCATCAAGACATTAATAAGTCTTTCAATATTTCTTCTAAACACTTTCTTCAAAAGAATGTAAGCAAGTTTTATGTCAGTTATTTGTTAAGCTTGTTGTTTTTCAAATGGTGTTGAAATTGAAATCTCCCAAAGAAAATGTGCAATATTGCAAAATAGCATTCATGACATTTTATATAAAGATGGATAATTGCAATCTGTAATAAATCTGTTATGTTATTTGTAGAATAAAAAGAAAGATTGGGTGTAACAATTCTTTGTGGACACTTTCTCATATTGTATTTTTGACTGGTATTGTGGGTTCTTAACTTTTTCAAAGCTCACACTTTGATCTTAATTCCATTTTTTTTTTCTTTTAACAAAATTAACCTTAATATGAAAGAGTGTAAATAAAATGTCAACCTTTTATCAAAATTTGATATTAAAATGAACATGGACCAAGATATTTTTAATAAAACCATTTAATGTATCAACTGCTGTTGTTTGTTTTTTTTTTTTTTTTTTTTTTTTAAATGTGTTTGTAAGTTTTATGCTAATTTACAGTTCCAGTAAAAAGTGAAAAAAGAAATGTTCAAATAAAATGGAAAAAATCCTACTAGCCTGCAAGTCTTTAAAAAACAGATTAGGTACATGTCATATGAAGAACTGCTAAAATAAAAGTATTTAAGCAAGAAATATTCAGGTAAAATATATATGTTCCCATAAGCATGCATACAAACATCAAATCATAATGCAGAGTGTACTTCCATGCAGCCCAATTTTCAAAATTTACCTAGACCTTGCAACTGCAGTATCAGGTACATTTCTTGTTTGTTTTTCTCAGCTGAGTTTTTGTCCATAGAGGGAGCCTTGACTGAGTCATCCTCTGCTCGAATACAGAAGTTGACAATTGGAGCCATATGGCAGACTGCCTCACTCTGAAGAATTTTGGTGGAATCTGCATATCAGCAAAGTTCTCCTGAATATATGTGTCTGGGACAGATCTGTCAATGGGGCACATAGATCATATCACAATGCATTACAGTTACACCCTTATTCAATTCTGATGCAACAGTGATTGTGGGTAAAATACTGTTATTATTCTAGTTGTCTACCCTTATTAAGGGATTATTTCATCCTTCATAAAATCGTCATCTTTGTTTACACCTCGTTTTCCCTTTTGTGTGGAAGAAAACCTGAATGGCCCAAAGGTATTTTCTTTAGTCTGGTGATATCAACAATATACGCCACAAAATAAAAACTTTGGCTTTTACCAAATTTCCCATTTCTTACTTAACTGCAATTGCCATTGGTGTGATAACAGCAAGTACATATTAGCAAGTGAGTCAATTATTTTTTTTTTTTTAATTTTGCAGCAAGTGCGAGTCAATGATTATTTAAAATTTATAAACATCTCTTGTCATCACTACAAAACAAAGTTTTGTAAAAAGAGCACCGTAAAACCATTCTAATAAAATAAAGTAATTATGGTGTGGAAAAAGGGACATATTTAAAATATGAATTTAGCAAGCAAAAGGAAGAAGAAAAATTGCTTTTTCAACTTTGTATTTTAAATACCATATATATATATATATATATATATATATATATATAGTGCGAGTTTTTTTTATGCTAAGACAAGGGGTCCTCACTTTACAGGTAATTCTTTAGAAGATGCTAAAAATCAGGCACGAAAAGAAAAGTACGTTATCTAAATCTTTGCATCAGATATTTTTATAGTAAGATTTTTTTTTCTCATCATTTTAGGGCAGCTTTGTACAAATAAAGAACGAAGACCATTTATTTTGCTATAAAATATGTCCAGAATGAAGCCGAGTACTGCAATATTTGACTATAGTAGACCTACTAGTATTTTTCAGAAGCTGGGGTAGTAGCATTATGCATGAGCTATGCTAAGGATTTGAATCACCCCCACAACAAAGAAAAAGCCGAGAATGGCGTTTAAATATAAGATTAAGATAAGTTTTTGTGATTTTTATAAATAAATTTTTCTTAGTGTGTATGAGTTTTTAAAGTTCTTGTTCTTCCTTGTTTGTTAAGATGAAAAGAAATGTAATTTCTTCGCGTGCATGTGTGGGAAAGAAAAGGCAAGTGAGAAAGCAAGGAGGAAAGTAAGGGACACGTAACTAGGTAAGGAAGATAGATGAATGAGTAAGGGAATTGCTTTTAAGCCGAGCATTGTGAACTGTTGCTGCCTGTTTCTCCTTACTGGTTTGTCAGTTTAGAAACTTTGCTTAAATACCCTTCAGAGTGATCACAAAGCTTGTTTTTTATTATTATTATTATTGTTGGCAGGAATGTCACCCATTGGTTGAAAAATGTTAAATATTTATTTTCAATATCTGTCTATATTTCTGAGATGAGGTGTTATGTACACTATTTATATTATTCGGACTATTGTTCTCTTCTTTGTTGCCATACTTATCACGTTTCGGCCGTTGTACGCTCCAGCTTTCTTGGAATGTCGAACTGAACCCTTTATTTCGCTCTTGAAGGACACATGGCACAGTGGATGAAGGCGTTAGTTAGATCCAGTGACAGGACCCAAAGAGTGCGAGTTCAATACCTTGTTAAGGCAGTGGAGAACTTGGAGTGGGGAATTAACAGGTGATAACTGAACTGGAACTAGAACAGTCTACCCCAGCAAGCGAAATAAAGGGTTCAGTTCGACATTCCAACCACCTGAAGAAGGCCGGAGCGTACAACGGCCGAAACGTTGTGATAAATATGGCGACAAAGATGAGGATAATTTATTTTCAAGGCATTAATTTAATAACCGGAAGATGCGCAATCCTCCGACTCAGAAACCATTTTTTGACATTTTGTGTTTGACTGTTTTGGTGTTTATTTCCGTCTTTGCTCCACAGGTATATGAATTTTTTTTTCCAGATTTTTCATCCAGAAATTCAGGAGTTGAACTATACATGAAGACTTATACACATGTATACGTTATGTCCATAATCAAATTCTGGAATGTCAATAAAAATTTTAAATTAAGTAATATTTTAAAACGCTTAGTAACTAAAAATACATATTTTGTACACACTGATAAAATTTATACATACTCGTCTAAAAACTGTCTTGCAAACATTTTTATTAATACAGGCGTAAATGAAAAGATTTAAAATTGGCAACTTTTTCCATTTCACTGAAACAGGCATTAAACAATTCTGTTTTCATTTCTATCTTTCTTTCTTTTTCTCACTGAAATGAAGCAGTGTCTTATCTCTTTTTTCATGTTTTTCAAGTAGTCAAAATGGAATAGGCCATTATGTATGAGCTATTGGCAGGGCATAACAGGGTTTGGAGGAACTAACGAACAAATGAATAATACGATTGAAAAAGAAAAGAAAAAAAAGAAAGAAAATCCTATTTTATTCATAGCTAACCTAGTGATTATTTTATTCGTTTTCATGCTCAACCAAGGTTCCTAACAACTGTTATGACTATAAATAGTAAGTGTTTTATAAATGAACTAAAACTTCTATGGCTGAGATACGTAGATGACACCTTCATACTCTAGCCACATCAGGAAGACGTCCAGCTACTACTAGACCATGTGAACTCAATAAGATCGCCGATAAAGTTCACAATGAAGCAAGAAACTCGCCTTTTCTCATGGTGCAACTTATAAAGAAACTGGAAAGGGTTTCTGGTCACATGAGCGATTTTATGACTTTTATACTTTCGGAAAGGACACAATATTTTTC